TACTCTCGTGCCGGACATCCATTCACACGAGTTTTATGAAGCGTTTCGACCCTATATATTCGCGCTTTCCGTGGTTCCTCGCATGTCCCATCCCCATAAAGCAGGATATCTGGTCGAATGCTTAGTGTATCTCCATGAGACTAGTTTCTCTTGTCCCCCCCCAAACTTGAAACGTGACATTTTGAGGTCCTATCCTGCGAGACACACGCTGTGGAGGGAAATTCGGCTCCCATACCTAGTCGACAGCATGTTCATATCTCATGCCACTATTTTGTAATCGAATTTTCATTTCGATTTTAATGGAATCGCATGATCAGAAACGTAAGTCCCTACACGATGCGCCGATGCGTCGTCATTTTTCTGGGAATGGAGGTCCCTTTTTCACCTAACGCGTGGTACTCCCAGGGAACGGGTGGACAGTTTTGGATGGTGTGATCGCACACAATGACGGAGACAGCCGGTTGCGCAGAAATTTGCCTCGGATCGGGTTATGAAATGGGTTCCACGCCGGTAGCAGACTGGGTAGGAGTCTGCGCCGGTAGTCCATCACTAAGCTAGCACAGCTGCCGAATTTGTTTGTAATCACCGAAACCGGCTATATATCGCATCGAGTCTTTACAGATCTGGATGTCTACGTAATACTCCATATTGTGAATCAAGGAACATCGTGAGCGGGTGATGATCCGCGGATATTGACGGCAGAAAAATCATAGAACGTCCAAAAAGCGCTCAACTTTGAACGAAGATTCTCAATCCCTGAGTAGCTATCATTCTGGAAAGTCACATCTGGTACGCAACAGAAGAGCTTTTTGTAGAATATTCAAAGAGCGTGGGACAGGATGAATTTGAGGGTTCGCGCTTTTGTCTTCATACTGTCGTAAGCGGGAATGAATGTTTGAAACTGAACAAATGAGCTGTCAAGGCTAGCTAACTGAAGCAAGGGATCGGAGAAAGTTCTCAGTTGAGATTCTCTCTCAGTGGTTCCACAGTTCTTGACTACATCCCGGAAGTCCAGATCAATGCATCTGCCAGTGAACATGAACTAACCCCGCACGGGAAACCATCGGCCACGCGGGCCCAGCATTTACAAATGGATTATCTTCGTTGTGACTGAAAAAGTCAGCTATGGGCCCACACGACAGGCGACAAACAAACGCGTTGCGGACGATTTAGGGGAGCCACGTACTCAGCGTGTTCAGCGAGGGGAAAATCAAGGCGAGGCAGGAACCGTTAGTCTGCAACGTCCCAGGGAATTTTCTTTCACTCCAATAAATAGGGACCAACGGCTTTCTCGCCTTTCTTTGAAGGCCGTGGCATACAACCGATTGAGGGGAAATCAAATGTATTGATTCCGTTTCTGATGCTTCTGCAAAAATTCTACCACAATTTTTTGCGATATCTTGTCAGTAAAATTGAGATGTGAGCTGAAGCGACCATCCATACCTCATTGGGATATAAGGGAGCCCAAGTCCTCACCTCCCTCTGCCATTCCCCACAACAGATACCTCCCTCCTTTCTAGACGCGACTACAACATTGTCCCATCTCATGTCTTGTGGATCTAGCGCCGAGGTCCCGATACGTTTGGGCCCACTGCAGTGCGCGGAGCGTTTGTGACAACGTTCACACTAGGAGCTACTAGTGTGATGTGGGTGTTGTGCACGATGCGCTCTGCTCATGAGGTGGGCGTTAACGATCTGTGCCAAACGAAAGCTCGGGCGATGAATACTTGTGTAGCGCTATACTGCTGTTTAATCTCCTTCCCGACGACTCCCACTGTGGTGAGCGAGCAGTCTGGCCCTCACAGCCGTCGCACCAAGAGCCGAGTTGGGGTGGTGTGGTGCGGTGTGGGTGTTGTGCACAGACAGCTCGTTCATTACGTGGGTCTATACATGCCAGGGATTCGTTTGTTGAGATTAATAGCTAGCCCACTGGTTCTGAGACCACCACAGAGTTAAGTCCAGGTCCGAACGCCACTTTCACGGCGACGGAGTCCTTGATCTCAGATCCGTAACGTACTGCTACTGTGTGTTCCGCAAACATTGGTGATATTCCGCAACCTTCCATTCCGTACGCTTCCGTATATAGGAAACTCAGACTGTGTACCGGGGTTAGCCGAAATAAATATTACCACGCTGTGTCAGCCCGCGACAGAAGGTCGCAGGGAGCAAGGTGTCCAGCCTCTCTTAAGAAGTGCCACGCCTGAGACCCCCCTTGAGAGACTTGACGATGCTGGCAGTGAGAGTGGCAGTTGGCTGGTCCCTGCCTCTTATTCTATCGCTCTCTTTGTACGTCGGGAACCGCGTGGGAGACGTTCTTTTATCTTCCTTGCAAGACAAATGATTACGAATCTTATTCGTCTGCCGTAGCGTGACCTGGGTTGATATTACGCGTTGCATCGGATGCATTGGGACAATGAATTAATTGGCGCTTACAAGCATCAGTCTGCGGCTACACGCGAGATATACCAGAACCACCATCACCGGAGACATGGTTCCAATCTCACCTCACCCAAAGCTGAAAACTTCCACAAGTCCCATGTCCCCAAGCATAGGTGCACACGAAGTCTTTCTTGAACCATATCTGGGGGTCGAGTTTGCCCGCGAGCATGCGAATGGAAGGGCTCGTTGTCTAAACGAAGCCCCGTTTCTATTCAATAAATTCCCCATGCTTTTCACAACCGTCAGTTTGCGACACTTGGTGGCATGTACGGATGTGCACATCGGAGAGTTCATTCCCGTAAGACTCATCCGAACCAATTAGCTGGTCAACGCCTTGGTGTTATTGGATTACACCCTTGGGTGACGAGATACTGTACATCTCCTCATATGGCTTGCCACACGCTGTTAATCATAGAGGCCGCCTATCTTTCATCAATCCCTTCGGACCCAGTTTGATGGGGGTTGGCGTAACTTCTTCGTTGTCGTTGTTTGGTTATAGATGGGTCTTCGTGCATTTTAGTCACTTACCACTTCCCTGAGGCACCCCTTTAGTAAGCGGCAAGAAAGTAATACGGAAGTCGAAGCTTGAGATAACGGTTGGAGAGGTAATGCGGAGATTGGGTTAGTAGCCTCCAGTGATAAGTCGGGTGGAAGATGCAGTTGGCTGCCTCCGAAAAGAATAAACAAGCGATCGGACAGAGAGCTGGGAGTGGTATCGGAAGGCGAGATAAAGCCCACCAGGAATGAAAATCACCAAGTATGTGATGAAATCACAGGATCTAAGTGTGATCAGCCCTAGTATACGTCCCGTCCCGGGTGACACAACGAAGGATGATCTCGAGATATGCTTCGTGGGCGAGAACTGGAGGGAACCCAAATGGAATTTGTGAGAACCCGCACCCCTCGGGGGCACAGGTCAAGGAAGCGAAGTGGCTCTTCTGTCGTGAAGCTATACGCTCTGCAGAAGACTTCTCCCACGATGTCTGTCAGTGGAACAAGCGAACGTATCTTCCAAGAGAGAGTGAAGCCCTTACGGATCCAACAATGATGGCCTGTAGAAAATTCACAGAGAGCTTCGGATGCACTAGTGGCGAAATCGTGTAGGGACCGAAACGCACGGACTACTTCTGGTTACTTTTCTCCGAGACGATATTCCGGCGGTGAATAGTCGTCTAGTGTCGCCTATGATTGAGTAGGACAGTCGCTGCAGGATACGTGACCCGTTCGGCGGGGGGTACAGCCTAGAATAATCTTCCCATGCGGAAGGGTATGCAGAGCGGTTTAGTGGACACCCCCCGTCAGAATAGCACGACACAAGAAAAATAGTTTGGCAAACTTGAGCAGAGTCCAAGTCTCTCTCGAAAGAGCCAGCGACTCGGGGCAGATGATTGACGTCCAAGTTGGGGGATACGAGGCAGCCGATGTTCTTGGGAAATGGCACAACGTAGGGATGAGGTTTAGGGCCACCTAGAAAAATGTTTGATCGCGTTTCCGGTGACAGTATTAGTAAAAGAAAGCTGGAACGGTATCGGAACGTTGGATAAGGCTTCCCGCCCCAGTCTACTGAGTGGAAAAGTGGGCAGGGATTTTCCGAGCTAAGAAGTGATAGTATCGAACTATGATCAAGCCTAGTGAAGGCCTGCAGGCGCCCTTTTCCGATGTGGGTTCGTGAGCAGCAACCGGAATGAACTATATGAAGACGCAAATGGAACTTGTGATAACCCGTTTCCCTGGAGAGCAGAGATCAAAGCAGCGAAGCGGCGTTTCCGAAGAGAAGCTACACGCTGGCTTAAAGATGAAGGAAAGGATGAGCACTTGCCCATGATGTGATTCACAACAATGCTCTTGTGACCGCTACCCTGTGGCGCCAGGAAGTGTTGAATGAGATCGCGATGTTGGTTTACGAAACAAACGGACGCATTTCCCAGGAGAGCGCCGGGAAAGTCCTTGCAATGTACCATATCCATACTACCCGATACGATTGCACGCATAAACACTCCCACAGAGCCTCGGACGCATCTGTGAAAAATTGCCTAGGGACAGGGATGTATGGATCGCTTCTGTTGTTTTCCGTGATGATTGAATAAGCATGTCGTGGTTAATGGTGCGGCGCCTTTGGCCGAACAGGCTAAGTGCTGCAAGTTTCCCTGCCCGTTCGGGGGTAAGACAAGCCCAGATGCCGGGAAGGTAGAGGGGTTCAGCGTACAAGTCCCATCAAAGTGGCACGGTACAGGAAGAGATATTCAGCAATTCTGAGGGCCCAGCCCTCTCCCAAAATGGTCAGCGATTCAGGGCTGATGGTTAGCGCTCAAGCTGGTGGACACGAGGTAGCCAATATCTGTGGGATCCTTGGAAAATGGCACAACGATGACCCGGGTAGCTGTGATATTTAGTTTGAAGTTCAGGAAAAGCGAGACAAAATTTTTGATCGCGTTGCGGGTGACAACATGCCTTTTGTGTGGCAAAGACCATTATTTCTTGCCAACAAAAAAAGAAGATCTGTATCGAATACAGACGGCCGGGGACTCCTAAAAGAGCAGTGTCTTGACACACCTCTAAGGGCCGTCCGCTAATATCATGGACTAATTTGACTTATTAAATTCTCCGCTAATATAACTTGAATAGGATTTTGTTGTTCACAAGGGCAGGGTCAGTCCGAATTGTACGAAGACAGAGACTGGGTGGAAACCATACAATTAGCGAGTCCATCTCCGTGAATCGCGTGAAGGACAGCGCAAACAAACACCCAGCTTGCGGGAACCTCGCTGTACTTCGCCACAGCCATATCAGCCCACGCAAGAGACTTAGCACAAGTTGTCGGTACTAGTTTGTGCTTACCATGGCTTTTGCCCCCAATGCCCAGACCGCCCCGGGATGTATAGCTGAAGAAAGCGATTGTGACTGTCAGAAATGTTTGCAAGCGATATGGAACAGGAGTCCTTTCGCCTCGTTCCACACCCAGACACGCCCCCCCCCCCTGCTCGTGGGCCCATGTGCCCACTCCCCCCATGTTGCAGGAGCCCCGCTCATCCCCCCTTCCTGGTACTCGGTTTTCTGGAGCGGAAACGCTGTACAACTGAGGTACTGAAGCAGGCACTAGAAGACCACCAACACGCCTCAAGGTGAGTATACGCACACATCTGCTCAGCCATAGCAACGCCATGTTGAGCAACCACAATGTTACAGATGGCCTTCGCCTGGCACTCAAGCAGGAAGGAATATCTTTTCATTATACTACAACTTGTATAGGGTTTTGCCTCCCTGAAGACCGGCATACGACATAATATTCAATCGATGAGAACTGTCGACGTGAGAGAAGTTGTTTGCATGGTGAGCCTCTACGAGTTCCTTGATGACAATGACTGCAATTGATGGAATGTTCTCCCTAATCCCGCTCCAATCTGACACATGGTTGACTGCCATATCAGAAAAGATGCCACAGCAGGTATCAAACCTATGGTAGTGGCATAGGGGAATGTAGTTCCAGCCACTGTCAAGGGTCCGCCCAGCTGCAGTATCATCGGTTCGGCCGTCGATGACTTGTTTGCCAGGTCAGATGCGGAGCCACTGATTTATGCGACTCTCAAGAAAGGCATGACATCTCCTTTAGATGATGTGATCACACGATATCGCTGGATCGACACAGGGATAACAGAGAGTTCCGGGTTACACCGCCAAAGAACTGGAGTTCCTGTCACAGTCAATGAATCATTCAAAAATCCTATCACGACATCGCAGAAACCTGCTCACCCATCAACCATAGTGCTCTTGGATGTCTGTGGCACCACAATCCTTCTCGAACCTTAGGATCAAGCTTAGAATTGAATGCAGGGGGCGTGACTCAGGTTCTCGTTCAGCCTGTCACTCGAATCTCAACCTGTCGCCCTGCCATCCATGTGGATTACGGGCACTCACCTAGAGTTTTGCGAATGTATACATATTCTATTGAATAGCATATCTCTCCATCGCCACACTCGTGCATCAGGCTCACAGCATTCAAGAATTGTCCTACTTGTGCACACATCGAGGGTCTAACTACTGCATCCCCAATGCAACGTTGGTCGTTGGCCGCGCTGTACGTTCCCAGTCAAACCGCCTCAACCTGATTCCGACTTCGTCTACAGAGGACATTCTCATTACTTAATCTTTCAGCCTCCTGCTCGCTACCCTTGAGTAGCATCAGAGCCCTTCATCAGTGATCGGGAACCTCAGTGCAATTGGATGTGGAGGTGTGGCCTCGGAGGTCTTGTTCTTCGACACCGACTTTGATGCAAATCATGGCTTGTGGTTAATATTTACCTGCTGTCGACGCAATCCAACAGGACGCGAAACTCGCACGCCATGCCGTAGGGATGGCCTCACTATTCTACACCATCCAGGCATTGTGCATAGCGCGCATGCACCCGTCACCCCGCACATTGAATCCCCCATCATGATGTCTGGATTCCCCCTGCAGCCATGGTTCCGTTATGTGATCGCGATTCAACTGCCTGCGACGTGCTCTGATCGACATAGAATACGACTAACTGCCCGGACACACGTGCCCCATGTCACTGACCAACTGCACCGACCAGGCTCGAGTCTCCTTGGGGATTGACGCCTTCAAATCCCCGTAGTTTGCTATTTCCTCACAACAGCTAAAGTCAGGGTTGAATCTTCGGTGAAAACGAGCGCTTGTGGACGTTCCAAAGTTGATTTGTCTGCTTCCAATATTCCCAGATCAGAGCTCCCATGGCGTCCCTTCATCTATAGCTATTAGTAAATATCTGGGTCTGCAGAGATTTGATGCGGCATCATAGGTCTAGTTTTGGTGATCGTAAACAGCTTTCGAGGTGGCTGTTTTGGGTGCGAAACATTCCCGTACTCCTGTTAGTCCACCAAGGGAAATTCCTCTCTTTTGTCCTCAACCCTACGGCAACAGACTTCTGAGTCTTTCAAGTCGCGGGGGAAGGTGGACATGTCGTTCAACCATTCAACACGCGTCGGTCTTGGTTTCGTGGCGGCGTTAACGTATAAATGGTTATTTGTTGAGCCTTAGAAATCTTTTTCCCCATGTCATTGCCGTCATTATGTCCCAAAATCTTAGATATAATTCCTGTGAGTGACCAGGCAGTAGAATGATGAAAAAAGCATCTCGATTCTGGAAGTATATATTGACGGATCATGCATTGTCAGGAACTCATGTGCACGTATGGTTCGGGACAACGAGGCGTTCGAGACGACGCGAATCCATTGAAATCCAAATGAAAATTTGATTATGGAATAGTGGAACGAAAACATGCTAATGGCTGGATATGCAACGAGTCGGAGTCTCCTCCCCATCCAATCAGTAAATGAATTTAGCTTCAACAGAGCGCAGTAAAGAGCGAGACTGAGAGACTACGCAATTAGAGGGTCTTCTCTGGTGGACGGAGTGAGGGTTTGACCAATAGAAGATTCTTTGGAGAATATCCAATAGGACGACAGCCCCAAGGTTTATTGTCACGAACGATTAAAAATAGTCAATGCTGGCTGATTGGAGAGCGAACATGGATAACTTACTGAGCAGACCCCCAACATGAGGAGCCCATCGGATGATAAACCGGGACTTGAGGTTCTGATTTGAAATTCAAGCTTGGCAATTGTGTTTCTCGAAGTGCATCTAGACGTTTGCATATGCTAGCGAATGCGAGCAGATCCATAGCATGGGAAATCACCGGCAACCCTACCCCAAGGGATCAGCGCTTGCAAGGGAAATTGTCTTCATTGTGATTCAAGAAATTAGCAATATTGAACCCGCAACGAACCCATTGTATCTAGCCTTCTTGGATGCTTCTGCAAAAATTCCACCAAAATCTTTTCCACCATATAGAGTGCCCAGGGAAAAAGCTAACGCGGCCACTTACACCTAGGTGGGCTATAAGGGAGCCCAGGTCTGCACCTCCCTGTCCTGTTCCCTGTAGTAATTCCCTCCCCTCCTCTTCTAGCCACAACTGCAGCGTTGTAGCCCCCATTTATATCTTCCTAACCTGGCACTAGGGTTCTCATGCATTGTCCGTCGCGACGGCTCCCGCAGTGGTGTGCGGGGTGGCTGTCACAACATTCACACCAGAAGCTACTGGTGTGATGTGGGTGTTGTGCAAGTGCACCCTGCTCACAAAGTGGGAGCTGCTGAGCATTGTTTATTCACTGTACTGTCGCTTGAAAGCTAGGGCCATGCTCGCGTAGCACTACACTCATTCTCAATCCGATTCCTGACGACTCCCGCGATGGTGCGTGAGGAGAGTGTCACAAAGACCGCACCAGAAGCCGCGCCTGGAAGTTGGGGCGGTTGTGCCGGTTCGATGTGGACATTGTGCACAATCCCTTCATTCATAGCGCGGGAGCCATGCGGAATTCACTGATTGAAGTGTTTAGCGGTGCGGCAGAGTCGAAACAATCGGAAAGGGGACCCCAAAAAAGCAATCAGAGTCAGAGTAACACAGTGATCCTGTTCCGCAGCAAGGTCCGCGCACCTCAAGTCCCTCCCCGAATAGTACCAGCCAAGTGAGATGAGCACATCACCGTAGACACAGTCCTTTTATGTCCAGAAACGCTGCTCAGCAGGAGGTAGACGTTCCGTAGCTTTCCAGGGTCTCCGGCCGCGCCCTTCCGTACCTTCCGTGCTCTCCCTTGTGCTAATATTCACGTGAACACGTGGCATTGCTGGATGAACCCATTACATAATACGAAGCTCGGCCAATTACCACGCTTTGTCAGCTCGTGATAGAGGACAGTTCGTATTGAATTGATCTTTTCAATGTTCCAACCCTGACAGTCTCAACATTGCCAACAATTAGAGTGGCGGATGGCTTCCGTTATCGTCGTCTGTGGTGGTGGCATGCCGGAAATCCCTGTTCCTAGGCTGGGAAGGAGGATCCCTGTCTCCCTTCTCGCGCAAGATCAGTTGGTTACCAAATCCTCATAGCGCAACTTGAGCTGGTATTGCGCGTTGCATCAGGCGCATTATGGAAACGAACCGAAGCTACAAGCCACGTTCTGCGGCCAACATGCTGAATATTCCAGAAGCACTATTGCTAGTGGACGGTCTGGACATCTTCCGACGCCCGACCACCGCCCCCAAACCCAAGACGCACATGAGCCTCCGCGCACTGTATCAACGAGCACAGCAGGATGGCTCGGCCGTAGACCCACACAAAACCTGTCGTAGGGCTGGAAGCCACCCGATAACAGCAGGCAACTGTACAGTTTCTATTTATGTTGTCTACTTAGTACGCAAGGGATCCCAGTTTCAACAAGGACTACACTGGCATTGCTAGGAAGATCGCCTCCTCCGCCTGATAGCACGAAACCCATATATGTGTATCCTGTGAAAACGAAAGTCTGGAATGATGAGGATATGCGATCTTCAAGGATGTCCTAGTCATAGATAATGTTACTGTTTCTCAGCTGATGGAAGCGCCTCAATATAATGTGTTGCGCTGGTCTGGGATGGAAATGCGGCGGCTTCTGCGTCCATGCGAAGATAGGCCGGGAATGGCCGGAAAGCATTACTGCCTGTTTGACCCTTCCCGAACGGAACATAGTCAATCACACCAGTGGAAGTCGCCAACGCTGGAAACATGCAACCCAAGCGGCAGAATACACCATTCGGGCGGGTGCGGACGGTAACGCAGTCACTTGCTAGCCCAAAATCTCATGTCTCTTACTACATCTTTGTTGTTGTTCCCGACTCTTCCTCTTCTTCGTGCGTCTTGTCCACGACTCATCCATATGATTTTCGGCTCGTTCGGCTAATTACTCGCTAATGGATGAACTAGTTAAACCCTCGCCCCTGGATCAATGCCCACAGTTACCCGTGGCTCCAACTCACCAACTCACCGCCTGCGCCCCAATCTGAAGCGAGGTTCATGGGAGAGGGCGGGGGTAAGACCTCCCTCCCCTAACCCAAGTCACTGCCCCGAGTTGACAGTCGCAAACGGCACAGCAGGGTTATAGATTTTCAGTGGGGAAGGCCGATAATCCTTGCACCTCGCGTACTCAAATTCATTAAGACTCTCGCACTAGGCAGAAATAATGGATACGCATTTCATTGCCATGTTCCATGTAATAATCGATTAGGCGAATTCGGCAAAGCGGTGGGGGATGGTTATTAGTATATCATGTAGGACGGTATGCGTCCAGGTACATACACAGCGGAGAACAAGTTCAGTCGCAAATAAATAAGGCGAGTCGGTTGCGAAGTTGCGAGAGGAGATTTCAACGGAGAACAAAATGGAAAGTCGACAGCTTGCATGAACTATTTACAACACGTACAGTCCGGTGAAGGGCAGATGGAAACGAATAGCGGTCGGACGGGCAAAAATGAAGAAGGGCTGGAAGTTATGCACTCGCAACACAAGTGAGTCGCAGCGGGGCAAGCGAGTCGCAGTAGTAGAGCAAGGGGAAGGTTATGTCGCGAGAGTTGTAACTTGTAGGCAGCGGGTCTGAAATGCACACGTAAGTTTATGCACCTTCCACGATACAGCAGTACTAACCAGTCGAAAATTGGCGCGTACGTGAAGTAGCCGAGGGAGCGATAGGACAAGAAAAATCCCTTGACGCACTGGGTTAGCGAGCCCCCGACGCAGCGAGAAGAGACTCAGTGATGGTGCCAGCACACGCACGGCCCCCCAACGCTGAAAAAGGGTAGTATCGTACAACATTATTCTAGGCCACTGGCGACCGCGACGACCAGCAAAATAACCTGGAACCTTTTAGTCGGTAGCGTTCCGCGACATACCCTGCGACGGTGAAATGATATCCCCAACTGCTGCCGTGCCCAAGGTGAGGTGCCTGCCTCGCAGGTGGGCGTTGCACTTGAGCCATCCGCTGCAGTGGGTCTGACTGATCCCGTTCCGTGTATGGCCAAATCGCTCCCTAAGTGTTCGCCCCACTCCAGTCTCAGCCAAAAGGACCCAGAAAGTTCGGCTCCCCAATGGTGGAACGGTTATCCTAATAAGATCAGTGATGCAGGTGGGAATATTAGCCTGTAGGGAAGACGTAAAGGAGCCTTTTTTGTCGGCGGGATTTGAAAATATGAATTCAACGATTATACAACTCCGATAAATGAGTTGAAGGGTTGGCGATAGACTTATTAGATAAGTGGCGAGAAAGGATGGGGAGCATGTATTGGCCTCGTTGCACCATGAAGAGGCGCAAATATCAGTGACTGAATAGAATGTCAAAGAAGGGTAGGACTTCATCGCGTGGTCGACAAGAGATTTATGGGAAATACAATAAAAAATCTCAATAAAAGCGTTCCCGAAGAATCGTCAGGGTCGACTTCACCAGCCAAAGCGATACAGTCACACATCATTGTTAGGGTGTAATTCGAAGCCAGAAGATCAAACCCCTGGCACCTATTTGGGAGGGTAATCCGCGCCAGCTTCCTGGGTCGCCTTGCACGTAAAAATGTCTCGCATCTCTCCATTCGGCAAGTGTGGCTGCCTGTTCTTGGGTTCACAACTGCAACCATCGTATTTTTGTCGGATCGCGGATCAATCTGCACAGAATTCCAGAATGGACCAGCATATTGAGAAGCAGAAACGATAATGATATCTTTCACGAACATCGTAGATCTCTGAGAACTCTTCCAGTAGTTGCACGTAAGCCTCCGGTCGATCGCCGTAGCTAGCCCCATCCAGTATCTCCGCAGCTATTCGGGCCCTAAGGGAAGCTGTACGCTGATATCTCTGACAGCACTGGAAACGTGTTCGTTCCTTGAATCGTCATTGCATCCGTGCACCAGAGTCTTGATCCTATGCCCCCCCACGGGCGCGGAGGGGCCTTTGTAACTATGTATGAATCGTTTGCAATGCTATGCCACAGCTCCCGGCCCGACTCAACATCGAATATTTTGTGCAGGCACGGAGGTCCGCGGCCTTGAGAGTCATCCCTTGAATCGAGCACTCAACTCGCCGCGGATGCTGTTCTTAGCCACCCAACGGACTAGGTCTCCTCTTCGGATACTGGAGAACATCTACTGGAGCGTTCCCGTTTCAGGGATCAAAGTAACGGTTGGTTTGACTTATACGAAAAGACAATTGCAATTGGACCATAGAAGAGGCTTCCCGACACCTCAGTGACCATACAAAAGAATTCCCTCGAGCAATACCTTGGATACTTGGGGTAATCCTGATCGCGCCACGAAAGCCACTGGTACTGAATGGTGGCAGCCACTTCCCACGGTCTGGTCGCCAGCGTTGGTTTGAATCGCAGTGCCAATGCCCAATACGTCCACACCTGACTGGAGAGAGCGAGCGAGAGCGCGTCGGTTGAAGCAATCAGCACAAATACCGAAGGAATGGATGCTACAACATCACCCACAGAACCTCAATGTCCTGGATATTCCCGCAAAATCTGGGATACTGACCCCGTTAGAGATTGAGATCACCGAGACGAAAGATATTTTAGTTCTGCTCCGCAAGCTTGCTACCGGGGAGTGGTCGAGTGTCATCGTCACTACTGCCTTCTACAAGCGTGCCATTATAGCCCACCAGCTTGTGAGTTGTACCTTCCATCATGCCGACTGAATGTGGTCCACGAACCGACCAAAGACAAACTGTCTAACGGAAATCTTTGTTGATGATGCCCTACGATGGGCGCAACGTGCGGATGAGTATCTTGCGACCCATAAGAAGCCCATAGGATCCCTCCATGGGCTTCCAATTTCTCTCAAGGACCAATGCCGCATAATTGGTCTTGAAACAATCATGGGCACGTCTTTCAAGGGCAGCTAACCACAATACCTTGTATGTTCATTTCCATTTTAGGTTACGTGTCATGGATCGGCCAAAAGGCTAAATACAACTGCACCCTGGTCGATATCCTCCTCGAAGCAGGTGGGGTACCATTCGTCAGGACGAACGTGCCACAGACGCTTGTAAGTACTCGGGCTCTCTGTTTACTAGGGTGTATGAATGATCTTTCCAAGTGGTGGGGGGAGACGCATAACAACGTCTTTGGTCGAACCTTCAATCCCTACAACAGATCACTTACCTGTGGCGGAAGCTCTGGCGGAGAATCGGCTCTACTTGCCCTGGGAGGAAGCCCTCTTGGTATAGGGACGGATATTGGTGGGTGAGTAGTTTGCATCTATGGAGCTCGAAATGCGGTAATCGGCCGTGCGTGTCTGTTAGGTCTGTCCGCATCCCAACTGTGTTCACAGGCCTTTACGGCCTTCGGCCGAGCACTCATCGGCTTCCATATTGGGGGCTTGTTAACTCATGTCTCGGTCAAGAATCTATCCACTCCGTCTTGGGGCCGATGGCTCCATCGTTAACTGCCCTCCGCGAATTCACGAAGGCAGTCATAGACAGAAAGCCTTGGCTGAAAGACCCCACATGTGTTAAAATCCCCTGGGATCAAGCGGCCGAAAACCTCAGCGATCATGGGGGCAGTGGTGCTCAGTTATGTTTCGCTTTCATGTGGGACAACGGGATCGTGAAGCCCACTCCTCCTGTCACGCGTGCATTGGAAATTACGAAGAGAGCTCTAGTTGAGGCTGGACATATTGGAAAGTCGACTTCACGAACATTGCCCAGCATCGTCTGACTATTTGAACTGAAGTGATCGATTGGATTAACCTGCTTCATCACGAACTTCACGTCAACATTGTCAGTGGGTCTTTGATCCTCTCATGATCCAAGCGACTCACCTCAACGTCATGAAGCATCGCATATATGCTGCTGATGGCGGAGAAGATGCAACTGGGGATTGTGCAGCTTCGGGTGAGCCGCTACTGCACACCCTGATTCCCTGTCCAGACGAGCACGAAGAGTTCGGGTATCACTTTGGACCAATACCAAAGCCTGTAACTTCTGACGGAAGGATCTTCAACCATCCACCATTGAAGTCTAATTTGGAGCGTATGTCGGCTGGCTATGGGGAGCTTGGCAACAAGACGCCTCCAAGCACCGGGTCGAGCGCTGAATACGAGACGGAAGAAGAGCCCCCCGTGTTGGCCCAATGGCACCCGAGGGGAAGGCATCTGCATGGGGGCTCTGGAAACTTCATGCCGAGCTGAGGGCACACGGGAAGGCTTACCTTGATCATTGGGAGGCGACAAAAAGCCGGACTGGGACAGGTAGACCCGTTGATGCCATTATTTGTCCAGGTGCCGCGTATCCTGCACCGCCGCATGGTTATAATTCGTGCGTGAATGTCAAAAAACAGCAGAGACGGCACTAACAGATTTCTACCCCAGAGACAGTTTTTATACCTCCCTGTGGAATGGGCTCGACTACTCTAGTTGCACGTTCCCGGTAACGACCGTGGATGTAGCGCTTGATCAGAAGCTTCACCGGCATACATTCCACAATCATGAAGATGAGTTTATTTACAGCTGGTGTGAGTAGCAATACCCAGGTCCATTTATATGCGTATCATACAACTCTTTCCTCTAGATGATCCTGCCATTTTCAGGCACGCGCCTGTTGGCCTGCAGTTGGTGGGACGAACCCACGAGGAGGAGGCTGTACTTTCTATGACTCAGATTGTCATGACCGCGCTGGAAGTCATGAATATCCAAGAGAGTAGATGATGCTCGAATTTCAATGATAGAATTACAATGTAGTGATCGATTTGAAACAAAATTAGTCCGCAGGAAACAATATTCGTCGGACTAGTATTCAATAGGTTTGATACGACATACTTGGGGCCCTGTTTGAAGATCCGCAATTGAGGGGTCGACAGATCCCAAGTGACCGAAATGCTATTCCATCTACTGTTCTCCGGCTGCAACGTCACGCTTTCTGGCTCTCGACAATTGGCTGTAGCACGTCGGGCACAAGTTATGCGAAAGTTTCGGCTGCCCACACGCAGGACACGCGACAATATCTATTCCATCATTGAAACCCAATCTGCTTCATGTTGGAAATCTGTTGACTTACTGGTTTTGTCCTTCAGGCCTTTGTGGGCGCTTCGCATCGATTTTCGCGAGTGCGACACCTTCTTTTTTGGCACAGCAAGAAGAATTGAAGGGAATAGGTCTTCGAGTAGTTCCGCGACGAGTGACTTTGGCCGAGTCTCAGTTAAGGTTAGTGGTGAGGGTTGCCCGGGGGTTGAGGAGAATACTGGAATTGAAATCGATTGTAACAAAAATTTGGGTATCATGCCATCCAGAAAGGGGAAAAGCCTTCTGCGGAACGGCTGGGTAAGGGTGAAGGATGTCATCGAATATTGAGGATTCTAATCCAAGCTCGCACAAGAGTTTGTGAACACCAATCCGGCAAGTGCCGTTCCCACGGCCGAGGCCCGTGTGAGAAGTGCACGTCAAAACGATCATGTTGAGGGTATTCCGACCACTGAGGCAGGCAACGAAGCTGACAACTGGGATAGTTGGTTTGGAGGGTATGCATTGACAATTTTTTCCTCGCCTTAGTTTTTCAACTTGTTCCTTGTTGTACAAACAGTTCACCCCAATCCGGTACCTACCCTGGCACAAACGTACCGCTCCACGCTCGCCTTGGTCAGAAGGGGCATACCTGAAACCGCTGTTTATCGTCAGAGTGTGGAGGCCTCTACGGAGCACAAACTTTCGATAGTGGAGGCTGCTAAGGGTGACGTTTCTCGTGTTGAGAAGGAGATTGGACAAGGACAGATCGAGGAACTCATTGTCGCCGCCGAGAAGGAGCTTTCCCTGGCTGAGAAAATGATAGAATGGAAGCCGTGAGCATCCTCCTTTTCTCTATTTACATTTGATGCGCTGACACCCTTTGTCAGATGGGAGCCTCTCGAAGAGAAACCTGTACCCGGTCAATGGGAATACTTCAATTAATGTATCATGAGCGCACCATTTGGACCTTCTTTTTCCCCAAGCTAATCTGAAATGCCTCCAATTAGATCGTGACCTAATGAATAATTGCAACACGGTCATTGGGCGTTCGCATATCGGGGGGTGCAACCCAAATCGCTTCAACCAGTTCCACGGCTCATTGATTGGCTGGTGGTCACACCAGATTGACAGCTTCGAATTTCCAACGCTGATTTGTGAGATAAACAGGCTAGTCATCATCTTGTTAGTGCTACCATTTAGAGTGCATTTTGAGATGTCCTCATGGTGTCGAAGTGCCTCTCATGTACTCAATTCTGCGTTCGCAGGATAGCATCCTGAATATCGATTGTTGGCAATTACTAGGCACTTACTACGAATCCAACTCCGGATCTATCGTTCACTATGGGATGTCGTTCTTAGTATATCGCACACTCAGTAGGTTTGCGCCTTGCGGGATTGAGGGTTACTTGCGATGATAATTCACACTGCTTGGCCCAAATGAGCAGCTGGTGCATAGTTTACGTAATTCGGAATTTGCCCGCAACACTTTTGACGACGCGATTTGCGCGAGACTATCGTCAAACTCCTGCCAAACAGCGGCCTGGTAATTAGACCAGCCAGAGCTTAGGTCCCGGATGCCGGTGGCCGCCAAAAACATGTTCACCCTGCTGGACGGTACGTACAGGGTGTCACTTTTTTTTTCCAACAACGCAATCTGCACAGATTCTGCACGCAACGCACGATGCTGAGTGTCCTTATCTTTCTACAACTCACGTCTACTTGAATAGACGAGGTGGAGTTATCCTCCTCGGAGCCCAAGCCTACTTCTGATCCCGCGCCTGCTCCTGAACCTGAGCCTGCAGCGGAAGCACCCGCGCCCCGCCAAAACCGCGGTCGTGCTACCGCCGGGCCCGCTTCTCGCAGTGGAAAATATCCTCGTCGTGGAGGTGCGCCAGCATCCCAAGAAGGGCCAGCTGAGGCCAATCCTCCTGAAATTGCGGAGCGATTTGATAACACGGAGGCTCGAGGCGAGCGTAAGTCGTCGGTTTACACGTTTGTTGCCTTTTATCCGGAAATGATTTTTGTTTTAGCCGAACGTGGCCGTGGCCGTGGTGGACGCGGCGGACGAGGTGGGCGCGGCGGACGCGGTCGTGGTGATGGTGACAATTACCGAGGCCGTCCATTTGACAGGCACAGCCAGACTGGCAGGGTGTAAGTAGATAACACGTTCTGGGATGGCTCTTGCACTAAGGCTTGCACACCTCAGTGATTCGGAGAAGACGATCGAACAAGGCTGGGGTGCAAACAAGGGCGACGCTGAATTCACTGCCGAAACCGAAGGCCAAGCCGATGCCCAGGGAGAATGGGGTGGAGCTGCCAAAGACACCGTTGATTCTGAATGGAATACTGCAGTCGTTACTGACGCCGCAGCGTGGGGGGAGGCAGCCCCTACTACCGATGGAAATGCTTGGGGGGAGGCACCTCCTGCTACTGATGGAAATGCTTGGGGACAGGCCCCAGCGCCGACTTCGGGAGATGTTAATACTAAGGAGGAGCCTCAAAGAGAAGAGGAGGACAGGACCATTACCTTCGATCAGTACCTTGCAAAGAAGAAGGTTGAAGAAACCAGTGCTCTCCCCAAAACGGAAGGCAGGCGGGTTGCTGATGACGGGCAATGGAAGGATGCTGTCCAATTTTCGAGAGATGATGAGGAGGACGTTTACTTCGCTGGGAAGGTAAAATTCAGGTTTTTCATCCATCTCCAATCTCGCTGAATATATTTGCCACAGGCCAAGACCGGTGCTCCCAAGCCTCGACCGAAGAAAGAGGAAAAGATTTTCATTGAAATCGATGGTCGCTTCGATCGACCTGGGGGACGCGGTCGTGGTCGTGGTCGAGGTGGGACCGCTATGGAGATCGCGGTGGGGACAGGGGTCGCGGAGGTCGAGGGCGTGGCGGACGCCGAGAGGGCAACGGGGACACCAACTTTGTCGATGTTGAGGATCAAACTGCCTTTCCATCACTCTCTTAATGGCTTCTCGGCATCCTTCACAAAATAATGCGGGTATTACGTGTTTCCGCCATCGCCTTATCTTCTAACCCGTTTCCATCTTGATTTCATCTATTCTTGCACGCAATTGTAGCTAGGTATCGTTGCGTATTCTTAGTCCGACAATTCCGGCGTTATACAATGGGGTTATAACTGAGCTATGATTTGCCCTCAACGAAAGATGAATTAATCAAAAACCACTCAGACGCCACTCAAAATGCAAAAGGCTTGTACTGTGTACAAAGCTGTTCATTGGAGGCTAATATCCATCACCTTCACCACCCTCTTTACAGAAACCGAGATGGTCGAACAACAATGACGCCCTCATACTGTCCCGTCGCTTTCGGTCTTCCATATGTTGTCTATTCAGATCTATCATGAGCTGAGTATCGGCAGAAGCTAGCGGGAAGTCGTCTTCAGCATCCAGATCCTGTAGTGCATAATAGCCGACACATCCAGAATGGGCCGAATGAGAAATCGATTTGGGGCTTGAGTCAATGAAAATCAAATCTGAGCAACAAACAAGAACGAACAATTTCCCCACAAAGTACAACGTTCTCCCCTCGAATGCAGAAAAGGCCACGCGGTATATCGGAGTATGAATTTTCATATATCACTCGTTCGATCGTGCTCTCCAGCACGAGATTGGCTGAGGACATTTGGATAAGCCCCCACATTAACATGAATATGAACTCCCGTCAGGATCGTCAGGTAGTACGCTTCTGCTGAGGAGCATCTCACCAAACTGATCATAGGACCTTAGCACACCCAGCAATTTCCGCCCATCTCGCAGCAAAACGACTAACTTTTCTAAAATAATTAGAAGCATAGCCCGAAATGACATAATTCATACAGAGATGTCACTACCACATTGGAAAGAACGTCATTTTGTCTAAGTTGGTATACTCACTGTCAACGAAGTCCGAGAGTGACCCAGACGTCGTGAACGGGATCAATGAATCCATGGACTGCGCGGTGAGTTGGGATTCCATTGGTCAGATCACGTCACGTGAGGGACGTTGTTCTCTAAAAGGAAGGAAACGAACTCGTTGGGCACCCATAGACATTTTCACCGCATTGTAAGGTGCTTAAATAATGGTCTCAATCCCCTTTGTATGATTTACTCTCGTGTGCTTGTCGATTATTTTTTAAAAGCAAGTTCTCGGATCAAATAATTGAATTTATCTCAGCACAGCGCCGAGCAAGACAGAAGCTTCCCTAGTCTACATCTGGTACATTGAAAGATATCTGCACAGCACACCCTTTGGTCCCTGGTATTGTTTATACAAAAGTAAATGAATGGAATGACTCTGAAGTGAAGCCTGCTGGCTGTGGGGCTCCCGAAGTGTGGGTACGGTCAAGTTGAACCCAGCTGAACGAGGACGATGTATAGCGACTCCAAAAGCATCCAAACCTCTCCCACCTCTGATGCATAGCGCATTAGCGCTCGAAGCAAGCTCTCGCCGTAGCCGTGTCATCCTGATGCCAACAGAGGCTGGGTTGACACGACGGAGTGGCTGAAGCTTCTACTTGCGCTAGCGGTCTGAATCATGAGAAGGAGTCGAGGGGGAGTAGAGGGGGGAGTTGTTCTGCTGCATTCAGGCCAAGTGAGTCGCATTTTTATAGGCGAGGCGGACGGAGAATCGCGCAGTTTTTCCCAGGGTTCACCCCGTGCGCATTGTGGCAGCGGTTCTGTGCATGAAAGAGCGATCAAAAGCGGTGTATTGTCAGTCGCATGTAAGCCGCGAGCTGGGAATTGATTTGCAGCGCGGATCGCAGCATTCCAACCACCACAATATAGTCATAAAGTCAGATCTAAAGGGTGAAGGGACCACACTTCGATTTCCGCCGAGTTTTGGCGGCGATGAGATCAAATTAAGGTGCGGTCGTTGAGGGCCCTAATCAGAGCAAGGGGCATGTGTTATTTGTGTTGTTTGAGAGTCAGTTGGGATTTCATGTCAAAATCAAAAATTCAAAACTGGCAGAATTTTGTTCCTCCGCTTCTCCGCCGAACCCCTGGAAATTCATACACTCGACAATACCAATAAGTCAATGGCAAGGGTCACGTCCGCTGATCCCTTTATCCAATTGAATCTGTGCCACTCTAGATGTCTCGCCGCAGGAAGCAGCGAGGGTTGTTCCAAAGCGTAAACTCGTATATAAGACTAATGTTTCCCATTCAGATGCTACCTACAAAATCACTTTATTATTTAAAATTCACTATGATTTTTTGTTTGTCCTGATCCTCGTCAAAAGTGCAAGGTCTCCATTATCCTGGTACCATCCCCCCACGTTTTTCGCGTTTTGTCCACGCTGCAGCAGCTATCTCGCGGGCGTGAAGGTAGCTTTCATGTTTCTCCATATCTTTCCGGATATGACGTTCGTGTTTGGACAAACCCTCCAAATTCTGATACTAAGGCAGAGACGTCGTAGTTAAGGTGAGGTTGATAAATGAGGTCACTTGAATTGACTTGCCAGTCCTCTACGCTCCAACTCGAAATCCCCCTCTTTTAGTTCCTCCCACCTATCGCACGAATTCAGATGCCCCCTCATCAGCGTGTGGTTGAATTGCGACTGCACGAAATCACACACCCTGAATGGCGAGCACATTTCCTTTTTACCTCACAAAACCAAGGCCCTGATGCAGAATACACACCATAGTCCTCGTCTTCCGGATAATACAAATCATGTCTGCCACCAGCTTCTAGCCACTCTTCTAGTCTGTCATCATCCATCAGTAATCGATAATCGAAACCACACTGCCCTTGATCGGATTCGTGCGCCCGACCCTTCGCCCTGCTCAAGAGGATATCGAGGGCCTCCAGTTGTTGTAGGCGGTGCTCATCCCTTGCTCTCCTCTCACCAATCCTGCTCAAATCCCGTGCTAACTGCGTCAGTTGTCGCTTGATATGATCGATAGTGAAGTAATCTTGGTCGAACTGCATTTTCGCGGCGCTGGATGTTTGGACCTCCACTGATGGTAAGAGCATGCCTTCTCGAGGGCGTGCATGTGCAATAACTGGGTGTTCCAGGAGACGGCTCGTCTCTCCATCCCAATTGTCCAGCTTCATACTCATCGTTCGTATTCCACATTCGTCCGAACAAAACTTAGAAAGTGGAGGTCGCGCGGCATGCGTACATTCCGGGCGGGCACAGACCGGTTTGTAGGACGTTACAAGGCTCGGTTCCACTGTGGACAATGGGATTCATAGTGAGTCTCACAATCCACCTCATCGATCCCGACTTACCCTCATGGCACTTGGGACAATAGAATTTATCCACTAGCTCCACAACTTGCTCACTCAACTGCACGCATTCGGTGTGATACCATTCGTCGCACCTGAAAACTGACGACGTCGATCCCACACAACCTGACATCCGCAAGTGAACTCACTTGTCGCACGCAACCATGATCTTTTCATCGTCGTAAAGTGTTTGGCAGATGCAGTACACTCTACTGTCCACTTCCTCTTCAATATCCTCCTCCGCTAACTCCTCCTCCTCTGGCGGGGGTGTATTTGCGTCTGGTTGAGACGTTGGAGTCTCTGAGGCGGAACCACTACGAACTCCATTGGAAGCACCCCTCAGCTGCTGCACTCGTGCTTTTGGCGCAGACCCTTTTTGCTGGGCCTTTGAAACATTCTTTGGCCTTGGTTTCGCTTTTGGTCTGGAAGTAGAGGGCTTCTTGGGCTTTCCGCGAGCCTGGATGAACAATTTATATCATTGACAAATCAATATGCTATTATGCTGAACAGGGACAGAAGCCCGCCTTCATTGCGGCCTTCGCGGACGCCTGCGTTAGTCCCTTCGACTCCGTCTCGCCGGTGGATTCTGGGAGAGTCGATGACTCGCGAGGCTCGGAAGCCATCATCTCGAGGTCCTCAGCGGCATCAGCCATCAAGTCTTCGTTAGTGTTTTCATCACCGATACCCTCTAGGAGCTCGCTGTAGGTGTCATCAGTTTCCATCGTTGGACTAACTGGTGGCGTATCGAGGGCAGAGTAACATCATTTGGTTTCCGACACAATGTAATTGTAACTGCACGTGATGGTCCAGGCGCCACGTTAAAAGCTTAAAAAGGAAGCGTTATATCAACCCCGGAAGTTGGATGTTCATTCCCTCAGAATAAATGAGCTCACAGCTCATCTATCTCGTTAGTCCGTTATTAAGATGGTAATCTCCACCCGATACTGATTCTCGCAATCGAGCAGAATGAATTTACTCCGGTGGATCCGACATGCGATGAGTGGGAAAATCCACCAAACTAATAAGGGAAAACAGGCAGGAGATGTTAAAATGGTATTGCGAACCATTCATGTCTAATGTTCTAGAACAGGTCTTCAAGAATGAGTTGTGTGATTTTTGCCGACGGATTAGGGAACCCTAAACTAGCTCTTCCAGGCTAGACGTTTTGTTTGTTTGTCTAGCGCACGACAGCAGCGTTGGAGCCACGCTGATGACACGCATACTGGAACCGTGAATGTGGGACCTCGCAAACGTCATCAAACCGTGTTGCTGCACAAAGGGCTGTGGGCTAAAGATTCAGAGACAAGAAACAAGAGGGGCGCTTACGTTCCGTTCCAAATATGCTCCAGAAGAGGCCGGAAAATGAAAGACGGGAACATCTCTCGCCTCATCATTCCTTGGCACATTAGACCGTCTAGCATGTCGACGGTGCTCCACGAGAACCAGAACACAACCCATACATATCCGATGGCCTTCCTCAAGGAAACATGTGGTAACCATGATGATGTAGCATTCGAGACCAGAGTCTCCAGCGCGACCGCGATTGGCTGTGAGAGATAGAATTTGTATGAGATCGTAGCTCTAGATGCTGCCATGTAATCGCCTCCCAAGCTGTGGATAGCTGCTGAAACAATGAAGGCCACCACTAAGGTGGTCCAGATGTCCGCGGAAGACACAAGCGCAAATCCGAGCTTCCGGGATACATATCGACCATGAGAGACACAAGTCTATGGAAAGATACGTTGAGGGGAAATGAAGCTGCGCGAGGATGGAAATATTCGTACGAAGCGGAATAATTGGTGCCATGTCTTCCTATACAAATAATATCAGAAGGATCCTGTTCCCGCTTGAGAAGCAGGCAGCGAACTCACCCCCAAAATCGTCTGACTGTCCAGCAGCCTTTCAGCGGGCCAAAAAATGTTGGCCAATCTTTCGGCTTGGAGAGGCCACTCCCCACGCACAACACGCTCAGGACGCTCCACTGGAGCATGATCACGGCATAGGCAGCCGCTGCCCACATCCCGATCAAGACGCAGCGAATGGGGTATGGCTGATCACGCAGCCTTAAAACGGAGCAGTCATCTGCTCTTGCAACAACATTAAGAAGCGGATGGACGGCTTGCAATGTCTCCTTTGCATCCAGTACTAATATTAAGAGCGGAATGCGAATAAGTTCATTGAGAATAAAACTTCGACGCGGGATTGGTCTCGTTTCCGGGATCACCGCCGATGGCATGCTGCAGTTCCAACCAATGCCTCGAGGGTTCACCAAAAGACTGAACGAACGAAGCAAACGCTGCCGCACAGGCAAAGAGTCAGGATCGAGGCCTTGTTGGATCTCATCATTTTGAAGTATGGGGGTATCTTTGGGTAACAGGAGCAGGAGGGAAATGACCAAAAAAACGCGTGACATTAGGATGCCCCCAACGCCATAGTCGATTTCGGAAACGCCTGTGGTTGTGAAGACGATACAGTAAAGGCATAAGCCTATTATCACCGGCGCTAGACTAGCGCGTGCCACTGCCTGACAGGATTTCAACGACAGAGCGCCGATAAAAATGCATTCTGCAAGAAGTGGCAGTAGAAAATTGAATGGTTTACGGGACTGCATCCTGGCTATTGTACCAGTGGGCGATTCTTCACTATCTGTGACCAACGTGTTAGCCAATCAGCGGGGCCGCGTTGTCGAAATCAAGTTGAAAGTCCTGGCCCACCTCTTTCACCTACAAGTCGGCCGCTAGAACGCGACTGGTGCACAACAGATTTCGACGAAAATGACTCATAATCAGTAGCTCTAACTGATCGATCTTTCGACCTCCATCATAATATTTTGGGTTGAAATAATCGTATTACAGGCAGTTTGAGTGAGACCGGCCAATTACACCTCAGAAGTCACGCAAGGCGGTATCACCAGGAGCATGGCATATATTGTCTTACATACAAATACGTGCGAGGCAGAAAGAGAATGCCCGTATAAGGTGAAGAAAACGCATGTGATGCCATAATCAGCGGATGATTCAGGGGAAGCAAGGGAGGTCGTGAAAAAGTTTATTATCACGCTTCAGGGTGAATGGTTCGATTATGGAGCATCTAGTATCCAAGGGCGGTGAGTTGAGGGAAAGATGGGTTAGCCTCTCGAACAGCCTTTCCACGCTGCTTGATGGCAGCGAGCTGAGACAAACGAGGCATGGTTAGAACGCGAATAACCCAGAAACGGGGATGTATCTACCCTGTGTTCGTAGAATGCCTGCGCCTTAAGCTTTCTCTTCTCTTCGAGACGTTCAACGACGTCCTTGTAACCCCAGCCGACTTCATGCGACAGACGCTGCACGAAAACCGAGTAAGTGACCAAGCAGTCAGTTCTGGGAGACACTCCGCACCTTAATAGTGCAGTATTTGCGACCAGGCTTTAGCCTTAAGACCCTCAAGGCCTCTGGAACGACCATTCTCTTCTTGCGGTCATATGGTTGAGGAACACCCTCAAAGAGCTTCAACCGGGCCAACGCGGCACTTCCACGACCAGTCTTGTGAGGTATCATCCCACGAACAGCTTTGAAGAAAATCCGTGATGGCGCACGGTGGTGGAAAGGACCGGATTTCTTAGGATTGACAAGATGGCGTTTGTTCAAGTAGCGGTGGAATTTCAGCTGTGATTGCATTCATCGAGTCAGATGGGTGCAAGCCCCTTTGACTACAACATGACGAAGCACGCAAAACAGACCTTATTACGGAAGAAGCTTCCACTAATATTAATCTCTTCACATCGAACAACAATGATCTTTTGACCGGAAATGATCTGCTTGGCCACAACGGATGCCAACCGGCCTAACAAATGGCCTTTGCCGTCGATGATGACTGGGTGCGAGGAAAACGTGGCCATCCTATAGGAGAGATGAACTATAACTATTGAGACCAGGATGGAGTGATAGATAATACTTGGCCGACTTACGCAAGGGAGGTTAGCAACTAGAGGATACAATCGCTATGCAGTTGTGGCAGTGCCACCGGGAATTTCCGTGGATGACCTCCCGTGGCCCAAAATTTTGTGTTCACGATCTGACCCAAGCCCAAGGCATCTGTCTAGATGGTTCTGAACGGTGCAGTGTTATGCGCACCACTCAATATAGGTTGATGATCACGATTTGTCTCAGTTTCCTTCGTTGCAGAACGATCATGTCGGGATCCTCTACACCTCAACTCTTAACGATTCTGGTCGCCCGCCGAAGGTGTCCTCTCTATTATTGAAGCGTTGCGCCTATGAAGACCGTACACGGCAGATCATGTTTCATTTAGGAATGCAGTTGTGGCGTTTTGCACGGAGGAGTAAATCTGACCGATGTTTCAAATTTCAAATGTGATGATAGTCAATAATTAGGCAGCATCATGTCTGGAGCCTAGTAAAATGAGTCCCCGTCGTTTGGAACCATCTATGTATCCTTTGAGTAATCTGTTTCTATATCATGGTAAATTAGTCCATGCGAATGAGTCGGACGGACCCCAGCATCCCCCGATGAGTGCGCCATTAGTTCGATAGCTTCATGATTTATCTTGTCAAATCATGCGCTGAGAGTCGGACTTCTCAGCCTGCGGAGATGCTTCTCCGTTCACCGATGGGCGCCTAGAAGAGCAATTCATTTTGTTTGGGCCATAAAAGGAAATCGTGGCCGCCAGACCAGAACTTTGGTGCTCCGATGTATCTGCCAAGGATAACAACCAGAGCTGGGATCTTATGTCGCCCTCCACGGAGAATCCCCACTGGCCTGCGAGGGTTCCGTACTTCTCCGATAGTTTCTCTGAACGCTGTCACCGGGGATGACATCAAGCATTTCAAGTCCTTTTTGCCAGATTCCGCAATCATCAGTACTTTGGCACCTGGTAAAGCATCTAATGATGATCTCGTTCCATTCAATCATGATTGGTTGGAAAAGTATATCGGGAAGTCCAAATGTGTCTTAAAGCCACGTTCTACGGAGGAAGTGAGCAAAATTATGAAGCATTGCTACGAGCGCCGGATAGCGATCGTTCCTCAGGGCGGCAATACTGGTCTAGTGGGTAAGGCTTGCAGCACATATTGACGCTCAAGGAGTTGCTCTTTATCTTTGATCGTATCCAGGCGGAGGCGTTCCTACCGACAATGAAGTCATCCTCAACTTGGGAAACATGAACAATGTGCGCTCATTCGACCCAGTTTCAGGTTCATGGGAATTCTTCTAGGGGGTTTAAAGAATTATGTCTGAATATCCTGCTAGGTGTCTTGGTTGCCGATGCGGGTTGCATTCTCGAGAACCTCACGAATTACCTTGAGCCTTACAATCATATCATGCCTCTCGACCTCGGAGCGAAGGGAAGGTAAAGTTAATGGGTCGGTTCCTCGCGGGTGAACTCTCACCATGGTATTCCCGCAAAGCTGCCATATAGGTGGAAATGTCGCGACGAATGCTGGAGGGCTCCGCCTATTGCGGTACGGTTCGCTTCGTGGGACCGTCCTCGGTCTGGAGGTTGTCCTACCGAACGGGGAAATCCTTGGAGAGTTGAAAACACTGAGAAAAGATAACACTGGTTAGTGGATCTTTCTCTATCCCACCCTGAAACCTTCAGCATAGCGAAAATCTGCTTAGGCTACGATATCAAGCAGCTTTTTATTGGGTCAGAAGGGACTCTAGGCGTCATTACTGGCGTTGCCATATTAACACCACCAGCCCCAGCCGTCAGTCCTCGCCCACTCAATCTCTGGATGTTACTTATTCAAATCTGCTAGGCAACATCTGCTCTTCTCTTATCCCTACCTTCATTTTCGAAAGTCAAAGAAGTGTTCCGAACCACCAAGACTAACCTTGGAGAGATCCTCTCCGCTTTCGAGTACTTTGATCGGAACGCCTACGATTTGGTGCGCAGGTGCGTACGAAGCAGCAATTTTGAATATCCTTGAGGTTCCGGGTGCATGGCTGATGGCATTGTATTGTTATAAGGCATACTGGGAAAGATGCATTGGACGAAGGCGAAGTAGGTGATAGCGAAGCGTTTGTCCTCATCGAGACTTCTGGCGGAAAGAGAGAGCATGACGAAGCAGTATGTATCGTCTTTCTTCGAGCATGAGCTACACACTTTCCCTCGTGCATGTGCAGAAACTGGAAGAGTTCTTAGAACAGATCTACGCCAAAGAAGATTTCATCACATCTGGCGTTCAGTCTCAATCGCAGGACGATTTTCTCTCACTATGGTCTTTCCGTGAACTCATTCCTGAAGCCGCGGGTAAGATGGGTAAAGTGTACAAATACGATATCAGCGTGCCCGTGTCCGAGTTCAAAGCGGTGACAGACACTGTGCGGAAGCATTTGAAGGCTTTGAATCTCATCAGGGCTCCCGGGGAGGAGAAAGGTGGTGGGGCTAAGGTCATTGAGGTAATTGGGTATGGGCACTTCGGCGATGGTGAGCTATTCTGTGGATCTTCTTCGCCTTGAATTCGGTATCTCTCACACTGCAGGGACGGGTGGCTGATTGATCGCGCCAGGTAACCTTCATCTAAACGTGATTGCGGAGGCTTTCACATCCCAAATCGAAGCCGCCTTGGAACCCTTCGTCTACGAAGTCGTCGGTAAGTGGTCAATCTTCCTGGATTCTTGTCCACCATCATCGGGTTACCAGGTCACCATCTAACCAAGTTTGTCATCCTTTCATTTCCCTGTATCAGAATCACTCCACGGCTCGATCTCAGCCGAACACGGCATTGGTCTCATGAAGACTCATGCATTGCAATACTCCAAAGGAGAAGTGAGCAGGAGGTATATGAAACGAATCAAGCAAGTGTTCGATGAACGGGGGATCATGAATCCTGGAAAAGTCTTCGAAATTGATTGAGCGAACAACCCCGCGCGCGGGGTCCATCTATTTCAGTAATGAGATTTGTCACGTTCATTAAGAGACTGTGTATGCATTGGAAAGATTGACTGATGGCAGGATATGAATTGGAAGAACTGTGCCATGTTAACAGGTGGTATATTACTAGGTACACTTTCAGTTTAATTCCTTTCTGAATTCCGAGAGCGAGGAATGGGTTGCTAGACCGGATTGGGTAGGGTATCAGAAGGCAGAACACGCAAGGATGATAGTAGAAGTGAAATCCTCCGCGGACGGGAGGATCAGGAACGTTAAGCGAACTATAAAAAATGGGGGTAGGGGAATGCAATTGTAATCGCTCCCATAGATATTGGTTAACTAATCCACTACTTTGGAACTGCTCCAGTGTTGTGTTGTGTTGATCGATCAAGAGATGAGGGAGTGCAGGGGAGAGGATGGTGACATGGACTTCATTGTAGGAGCCACGGGCCTCATAGCGTCCCGAGTTCCATTTGAGACTGTAACGAAGGGGGGCTTGGTGAAGGTGGATAAGGGGGTGGAGCAGTAGTTAGGCTTGTAGGCGACGTCGGAGTCGAAAGCACCTTGAACTTGGTCGATGAAGGTTTCCTCGCACATTTTTCATCATCTGGGAACCAGACTGCCTCCTGTGCGCGTGGAAAGATGGTCACGAAGCCCACAAGAAAAAAAGGCAAGAGCGGACGAGAAGGCCGTTGGGAAGGAGCGAAAAGACCGAAAGTGAATGAATGAATGAAAACAAATGAGTCCATCAGTCAGTCTTGCGCTCCTTCAAGTTTGCGTCAACCTCACCCTTTCTCCACAGGGAGGCAAGGATGAAGGAGGACTTGGGGGGAAGAACTCACAACACAGCTCTTTGGTAACAGTCCGATCGAGTCTCCGATCTGTCCCACAAACCACTCTTCCTGACTGAAATCATCCGAAGAAGAAATATCATGTGTTGTTCCAACAAATTCGATTATGTCTCCTTTTCGGAAGGAGAGGTAAGTTTGAGGTAAGCCTGTTTCCCAGTTGAATTGACCCTCCCATGAAGGATGCAATGGGTTGAAGTCAGTTATCGCTTGTAATGAACGGAGGGACGAAACGCGTTCCTGAACATCGGGGAAAACAAAAGTTACCCGAATGAACGTCCCAAGGTCAGCATTCAAATTCAAAGGTTCCAAAGAATAGAAGGAAGAAAGGATTAAGGGGGTTGAGCGATGATGGTCGGCCATCCATCAAAGGCGAACATTGAATAGGCTTTTGAAGGGTGCGTACTTGTGGAAGAGCAACTGTACTTACGACGTAATTTCGCGGGAAGGCACCCACAGCGTTGCCCAGCCTTCCTCTCCACCAGTTCCCATCGCCAAAATCAAGTAATTCGATGAGATCCCCTTCTAAAAAAGACAAATCGCCTGGCTGTGGTCCTTGAAATTCATGTGCTGCTCGAACATATCGTTGACTGAGGGACGAGTTCGGATCATACGGAGGTATCGATTCGGAAGAGCAGGGAGAAAGTAGAAGGAATTTCTTATCGGAATTTGCAAGAGTGGGGGTACGTGATCCGGACTGCAGGACAGGTTGGACGAGGCAGTGCGCGCAATAAGTCGTACGGAAGCAAGACAACAGTCAGTACGTATGTAAACAGTAGGACCGAGTTTTCCCCAAAAAGGAGACCGTCAGCGTCGGTGATAGCGGTCAAAGGTAACAAATTACGTACACTTTCGACATTGTCAATATCCAACTCGTATAATTGATCACCCCTTGTGTTTTGCAATAATCGGCGGAGTATGTACAATTCTTGCGTTGCTGGGGAAACATAGTCTCTGTCAAAGAGTGCACAAAGTTTTTGCCGAAACCCCTCTGGTGTAGCGCGGTGATTCAGAGTTGATTCGCCACCGTGGCCGTTGTCCATCCAGTTCGTGCCGAGATTTTGTATCACGTGTGTCATGGTATTCGCAAACCATTTGGATGATTGGCTCGCAGTAGAGTCCCTAGGATACCAGTAGCGTTGGACTTCGAGTACGATATTGAAGAGATCAATAAAGTGCATGACAGTGAATCTTTCGAGACTGATATCTGCCGTAGACTTATGCTGATCTGATCCAGGTCTTATGAGATTAGGGTTTGAGGAGAGGGTGACGATATGCGATGAAGGGTTTGTGGGGTGATGAATGGACGGATCCGCTGATCGCTCAAAGCGAAGCCACAGGGTCGATGACAGCGCAATCGAATGCAACTGCATGATAACCAAATGAGAGCCCGATGACTGTGCATTCGAGAACGAGAAAGACCCCAGATTGAATAATTTTTACCATTTTTGATGTGTTGCAGTTATGGTCATGATGAGTACAAGTGACATCGAAGTGATAAAGTGAAACCCACGTGTTTAGGCTCTAGACACTTCCATGAAATGATTTGGGCAGAAGAAAGGTGTACCAGAGCGGAATATGGGTCGGAGACCTCCCTGCTAAAGACCGAGGCCGGAAGCCCCACAGGTGGGTTGGAGTTAATGAGTTCTAGGAGTCCTTCGATGTTCCCACGAAACAGCGGCGGCATGTTTGTCCTCGAAGTCAAGAGCGCAAAAGATTGAAGAGGGCACGCTCAGATAGACGGACAGAGCGAAGGGGGGAGAGAACCACTGAGAAAAACAAGAGGACGTCCAGACCGAACAGGCGAGTTATATATGTATTATATTGGCGGAGCGGAACTGCGGTCATGTACAAATTAGACGCCAAAGGAACGCAATTTACCTGCAAGTAGCTTTTTTCTTACTCAAAGCTCCGGGTTCACAGCCTGGGAGAGAGAAATTAAGAACTTGTGGTATTTTCCCAAAACGAGGCTTTAACGGAATTTTGCCTCATTGGAAAAAAAGACATATTGAGTGGAAGCGGCAAGATCGATAAAATGTCCTGTGTTTGGGCGCATACAGGAACGATAGGTTGAAAGTCATTGCGGCACGATCAGCCCCTCGCCAATGCAGGCGCGCGCGCTACGTGGTCGACGGCTGAGTCATCGCCGCTGCAAAGACGGAGCACGTGGCTGTTCCGTTCCCCAACTGGAAAGTCCGGCCGCCTAAACGGGTTGATCGCTAGTTGGATCGTACGGTGCACACAACGTCCTGCGAGTTTCCTTACGCGCAATCCTCGTCCAAGTTGACTGTGGGTAACGCGGGAGTCGATATCCGAACGGTTTTTGTGGTCTCACAAAGACCCTTCCTCTCGGTCTTCGATTTCCGGAAGTTGCATCGTTTAAATATCGGCTTTGCTTCCGTCAACGAAGGGAACATTTGTTCTGAGAGCATCTTCAGCGTCCTTGCAAGGGCAGGACTAACTGCGTGCAGCAATGGATGAAAAATCTCAGTCTCAACAATCTGACCTACCCTCAATCCCATCCTTACTGCGCGCGATCAGCATACAACCCATTGAACTCGCATTGACTCCCTTCTTTCTCGCAGCAGAGACTGCGACCCGCTACATCAAGCGAATTGCCAGCCCAATTCTACATCTGGCATTTCTAATATCTCTCATCCCTTTCTTGGGTATCTCAAGCTTAGGTGCCGGTTTAATCATCAATAGTTGGATACCAACTGGATGGACACAGCAGATATTTCTGCAATACGGAGATCTGGGTCTACCGCCGCATGCTGAAATTGTATTACCAGAATTGTCCCTCTCTCAGCCATACGATATCTCTGTTGAGCTTATCCTCCCTGTTTTCGCGAAGAATGCTGAGCTGGGCAAGTTTGAATGATGCCATATTCGTGTCATTGCGAGTCTGACGCAACACGATTCATCTTCCAGGGAATTTTATGACATCCCTAACAATCAAAACACCAACGAACGTTACACTGGCATCCGCTTCTCGCCCTTCAATCATCTTTCCTCCGAGAGTATACCTATCTCCGCTAGTCTTTAGTGGGTTGAGGTCAAGGACGACTCACGTTGTTGAATTGTTGAAAGAATTCTCCGCAACTTCATATGCGTCCAGTTTGCGAGCATTCGTAACTATTGGGAGGAATGATGCTTGGAGAGGGATTGGTGCTGGTCAAGGACGTGAACTCGTCGTGGCAGATGCATTCATTAAGGGCGTTCCCCGGTTGAGGGGTATCAAGTACGTTCAAATCTTCCTTCCATCTATCCCAAGTTAAACTCATATTTGAATCCACTCAGAGCATTTTTCGCACGTCACACCTTCATCCTCCTCTGCATCACAACCACCACGTTTTTCATCTCCTCATTAGCGATAACCTTGACTGTCTATCTCAGCCTCTCTCCCCGAATCCACATCATTCCACCCACACTTGAAGAAGAAACAAAGTTGCGTGAAACCACTGAAAGCGAGGAGCCATTTGGTATTAAAGAGGAAGATTCGGATGCCGCAAGTGATCTTTTGACCACCAGTTTGGGTCCAAATGCCAGTGTGACTGGGACGAGGAGTCGAACGACACGAGGCGACGATGAAGATGACGAAAAGGAGGAGAGTGATATATCTGTCGTTGAATGATAAAGTGACAATCGGCGACGTGCCTGGATGCGGGGGTGGCGGTTCACCACATCATTGCTCTTGACTCATGGCTCCTCTTGGAAATTTGATTTGCTTTGCTCATGCTGTGTGATACATAATGACGAAGAGAGAGAAAGCATGTTGAATTTTTCGCCTCTATTTGAAACGGGTATGCGTCCCTTTTTTTCCTTTTTTCTTTCCCTTTTTGAGTGGTAGAATTGACTATGTACTACAGACCCTTCATGTAATGCTACTCCCAGCCTTGTTTGAGATCCTGTGCTTGTCCCACACGGGTCCGAACACTATCTATGAGGTAGAAGCGTCGTTACAGAATTCACTGGCGCCATTGAGAGGCGCGCCTAGCTAGCTGCACATCCAACGGGTTGGGCATTCATGAATCAAAATCAGATCTGGGGTCGATCGATCGTCATTCCCCTATGACTCGATCGCCCTAACTTACCCCGCGGAATATGGGAGGTTATTGCGCGTAAGTGTCTGGCGCATGACTCCCCCCACCGCTAGGCAGGACTCCAGCCTCTATAGACCCCACCGCTCATTCCAGTAAATGATACATGGTTATTTCGCCTCCCCTAGAGAGGTCTGGCGTCCCAATCATTAAGCGCGCAACCCTCCGGCCAAGGCACTCCGACCCATATATGAGCAAGACGCCCAACTCGGAAGCGAGCTCACTCCATTTGAATGCCACTCTCAATGACACCAGTTTAGACTTTGTGTGTGAGACAGGGGCCTTCTCTCACAGGGGGTCCGAAACCTCGCAAGGCGCGCGCGAGTTCCCAGAGATATATCCTCTTATGCCATATTTACCAGTATTAATCCCAACATTGCGTCGACGGCAACGCACTGACAGACGTATTGTACACAGGAATATATTATTTGCTTCAATATTCGATTTCCGCGCACAGCGCGATATGGTCCGAGGCACAAACGCCAAGTTTGGGAAGGCCCGGTTCAAGGTCCTCTGCGCGATGAGTTCGGAGAAGAGCGATTATTTCGCCTTCCCCCTTTGGTCTTGCGATGCCCAGTGCCTGCGATGACGCATGATCGTTGTTGGAAAGAGGAAGGTTGGGCGTGTTTAGATCCGCAGGGAATGCGATGAGGGGATCCTGGATGAAAATGTAGTCCTGTACGTTATGGTAGACGTAAGAAAGACGAATTGGTCAATAAAAATGTCACTTGAAAATGGCGAAAAAGGGAACGCCTGCTAGGGATCGTGCATACCAGTGTAAGGCGCCAATAATGCGTGAAGTTCGTGTACATGGGCTCGTTCATCCCTTTTCGACCTAGATACTGTAATTTATCCTTTTCGTCCAGTCTAGCAGCAAAAGTCCTTTCCAGATCCAGGGACCCAGAAGTAACGCCCAAACCGAAAATCTTGTCGTGACCCTCATCATACGCGCTTCGCAACGGAGGAAATGACCAAAATATCTTCTCCAATTCTTCCGCACTCATCAAGCCATCCTCTGGGAGCGCATTTCTCGTGTTCGTAAAGACGCGGTCAGGGTCAGGTTCTTCCTTCTCTTTTCCTTCGGCGTTTTCACCGCCCCTGTCTTGTGCGTCACTAATGGCCGCAGCGCCTTCCTCCCCCTCTTCCTCGCCTCCCTTTTCAGTCGAAGCGCTGGAAGGCTGTATACTTGGGTCGATAGACATGTGGATGACATGCGAAGCTGAGATATCTTTGGCGTGCCTTGCGGTGAGCGGGTTGCGCACAAGTAGATTGTATAATGCTTCGGTTGGTTGGCAGTTGAAGTCTATTTGACGCCAAGTTCGCTTAATACGCAGGGAGGAAGGAGAGGGCGAAACAGGAACTCACCACCGGCGAAGAAGACTGGCCAACGGAGAAGATTGTTTTTCTTTTGGAAGTCAAGTACTTCCCTACGAATTATTGCGCCTTGTCTGCATCCATTAGTTTGAGAGCCACTGGGATTCTGACTACGATGTACCTTGCTCTTTCGTAGACATATCTAGGATGCCAGAATAAGTGGCAGGTAACGGCTATGTAACCTTTCGGTATAAGTCCCTGATCATGCGTGGACAAAGCAACGATCAAAGCGATGTTTTTTGTTTTCCGCGTCAGCCCTTTGGACGTACTCTCATTGGAGACGTGGTTCAAGGTAGATGAAGATGTCATAGTGGATATGTCAACGAGGCAAATGCTGTCAAGGCTAATCACCCGTTCGGTAAGCCTCTTAAATTTGGATGTCCTATGTGCTACCATGCACCCATGACGCTTTCCTAGGCCAGTTCCATATGTGCATTGATATCCTTTTTTTTCTAATTCTAGTGCGAGCTCATCCGAACGCTCGGCGTCTACTTCCTTGTTTCCGTGTGGTGAGCATTCCTGAGCCACACAACGCATAACGGGCGTCACCTACTTGGAGACATGCTATATCGGGATCATAGGATGTAATTTCATTAGAGAGCATGAGTCCTCGTTGTGTCGCTCTAAGGCAGTCGCTTGACGGGAAAAGATCCCGTCCTGTACAGGGCATCAGGTGAACTCGATCTCATATAGTCATGATTACGTACGGACAAGAGTCTGTGCTAGCATCTATGGTGTGAATGAAAATTCGTTCAGCCTCATCGCCCCGCAAATCAAACGGTCACGAACATTCCATGTCATCACTCGTACTGAAGAGGATGGAGACTGTGGCGCACGCAAACGCGCCCATTCCCTTTTGAGGATCTTTGCGTGGGGGTTAAGAGACACTCTGTCGGAAGTAGAAGCATTCTGAGAGGCTAGCTTTTTTAATCTGCGAGCTTCCCTAAGTGCCAGTTGCTCCGGAGTAAGTGTGGGCGGCATAGTAAAGGAGAGTTTGGTGATTTTCCTGGCCCCAACAGAAGCCTGCCAAGAGGAGAGAAGGGCTTTCGGCAGCACACCCAGGATGCTTAGGCTCGCCTGTCTATGAAGGTACACGCTGATAGTGAGGCGCGAAAAGCCTGCCGTATTTGGATTTGTTGACGTCGGGGTGTGGGGAATGTGACTGGGCCTCACAATCTTGGCTTAGCTAAGAAAACCTCCCTAATTCCTTCCGTTCGCTACAGGTACTACTGCCAGGGCGCTCGTAACGTTTTCTATGTCCGGAGTCTGGGACGACTTCCATGTGAGAGTTAACTTTACGGATGCTTCTGTATCTGCTGACGAGTCGTGATCCCACCATTCAGTCTGTATGGACAAGTGTTGGCCACAACACTGTGGATAGGTTGAAAGCCATCATAAATGGGCTGAACGTATCCTGCCGTACTAGTATACCTAAGAGTGGGAAGAAACAAGATCATATCGATCGCATTCGTGCATTTTTGACGCACCTACGCGAAAATGGCGACATAGCGCTGTGGAATGCATCCAAAGCAGTCATCTCGTAAGTCGAACAAAGCGAGTAAGGGTTTTCCACTCTGTCTGAATATGTATGGGTTCTTCAGTCCCCGCCCTCCTGCTGCTCCGACATCCAGTACCACTGCTCCCTATCCTACAGGCCCTCCACGATCACACCCTTACACGCCTTCTGCAGCTGGTCCTTCCGGCTCTTCGACTGCCTGGACTCAGGCAAGATCGCATCTGAATGGACCTGTGTACTCTGGCTCTTCCTCCTCCAAACCCAGTAAGCCCCTTTCTGTCTATCGAGCCGCGAATCAGGAGGTTATCTAAAGCTCGCGCATCTCCCTTAGCTATCCGCTTCAAATTGTCGCCTTTCTTTTCCGTAGAAAATCCTTTGTCAGACATCATTTCAGTCTCTGAGACTAAGTCGAATAGCGAGCGTGGCGCGGCGGTGGTCCATTTCAGCTTGAACCAGGAATTGCTAACGAAACTCTCGAGTCCGAGTCACCAATTACGGCTTTACTGCACAAGTTCGAGCTTTTATACTCCAGGAGGCAACGTATGGTCATCGCAGGCGTGCCCGATTGAGTTCCCCCCCGTCTGCGAATTGAAGATGAACGGTCATATCGTCACAGCCAACACTCGAGGAATGAAGAAGAAACCCGGGACGGCGCCCCCAGTAGATTTAGGGAAATACTCAAGTACAGGATTGAATAGAATAGATATGACCTATGTCAACAACTCGCAGCCCTTCGTGATGAAGGTGTGTGGACCTTCGGACAAGTGCTTCCCATGCTGTCCTGACCCGACGTTTGCAGAAATACTATCTTCTTGCTAATCTTGTTCGAGTAACAACAGTAGACCAGTGGGTGGATAAGATTCGATCGTCCAAGCTGCGGTCGGCCGAGATAGTCAAAGCTTCTCGTGCGTCGTCCCTTTGATGTCTCTCATTCTAGTTCTCAACTCCTTCCACCAGTGTTCAAGAATAAGGAGGAAGATGATGAGATCGTAGCTGGTGCACAGACGATGTCCCTGAAGTGCCCGCTCAGTTATATGCGTCTCCGCACTCCATGTCGTTCGCAGCTTTGTCTACATTCACAATGTTTTGACGCGACTAGCTGGTTCATGATGATGGAGCAGACAACCACATATCTCTGCCCAGTATGTGATAAGGCTTTAAATGTGGATGACCTGATCATGGATGGGTGAGCGATTGCGAAATTGATGAGAATGCTATCTGACGTATTTGATTAGATACGTTAGCGACATCCTCAACGTCACACCTGATACCGTCGAAGACGTTATCATTGAACCTGACGGAGAGTGGCATACCGAAGGTGGCGAATTCTCCTCCGCAGGATGGGAGTCCAAAAAGCCGGCATCTGTCAATGTTAAACGCGATCTGTCTCCGGATCAGAAACCTATGCTACCCTCTGCCCAACCCAATGGCAACAATGTTTTCTTTGTTGACTCGGACGATGACGGTGATGAACAGGTCCATAAGCATGACCTCTCGCACATGTCCACTACTTCAAAGAGCTCCGGAGAGACACGTGTTGCTACCAGAGCAGGCGGTCGGGAAAAGGCACCCCAAGTCATTGATTTGACGTTTGATTCCGACTCTGACTCTGACGGTAACCCTCGTGCTACCCCGCGACCAGCCACGAATGGTTCAAAGCGCAGAGGATCTCATGATGTCAATGACCAACTTTCCAAACGTCTGCGGACAGACGACTCAGTCTCTTCAGGGGATACATATGGCGGAAATTATGTTGGACGGCCTCCAGATTGGACCGGTGGCATGCCAGATGTTGGGGCCCGAGGCTATGGCGGCGGAAGGGAAAGCTCCGGGCAGTATTATTCATGCTCTCCTCCGCAAACCTCATCATACCTGCCGCATGTGACCCCTGCAGCATCCAGCCCTTTTTTCACCTTCAACTCTCCTCGCCTTCGGAGTCCCCCCATAACATTCATCGGTGGTTCCAGTGATAGCTCTCGTCCACATATTCGCCTTCCACCGCTTCGTTCCCTTGATAATTCACGGTCTCCGCCGACTTCCGAGCCCCCACCGTCGTGGATGCGGGACTGATTGGCCGAGCAATGTTGTTCCGATGCGCCCTTGATGTTCAGTTATTTCTCGTGTGGTTCGCTTCGTGCGAGGTCCTTGACATTAGTTACATACATAGTTGTAATTATTTTTTTTCCATTCCCATTGTCATCCCAGTTCTATCGTCCGGTCTAACTCGATGTTAACGACCGTTTTCATTCCATTCTCGGGTCTTCCATATGCAAATGAGATGACATAAGCGTCTTAGATGCCGGGCTTTCCCGCTTGTTTCCGTCGTTAAAAGTTGGTTACGTTCCCTTTTTTCACAACAGTTGTACTATCCCCCACTCCCCTATACTTCATTCACGCTAGCTGTCTGCGATGGCTGACACCAAGAAAAAGACCAAGACTCCTAAGGAGTTCGCAGGTATGTGCTTCTTTAGCTCCTACGCCGTGGCCACCTTTGGTGACACGGCTATCTATGGCCTTCAAAGTGATTTTCTGATTGATTCTCTTGCTTTCCTCTGCGTATGCAGTCGACTTCATGATGGGTGGTGTGTCTGCGGTATGTAACCAGAATCACTAGCCCAGTAACTGCTTTTTTGATTTTTTTTTACTACCCATATTTCCTCTTTTGACGTGTAGGCTGTTGCCAAGACTTCTGCGGCCCCCATTGAGCGCATCAAGCTGCTCATCCAAAATCAGGATGAGATGGTGAGTTATTTTAGCCAGATGGTGCTGAAGTGCACTCGCTAAATGTTATGTGTGAAATTTCTACCGGTCTTCAGATCAAGCAAGGTCGTCTCACCACCCCCTACAAAGGTGTCATTGACTGTTTCCGCCGCACTTATGCTGAGGAGGGCGTCATTTCACTGTGGCGTGGTAACACAGCCAACGTCATCCGATACTTCCCCACGCAAGCTCTCAACTTCGCCTTCAGTCAGTGACAATACATTAAATTTACTTACCCGATACTAAACGGCGTTCGGCTGCAGAGGACTACTTCAAGTCCCTATTCGGGTTCAAGAAGAACGAAGGCTACTGGAGATGGTTCGCTGGCAATATTGCCTCCGGTGCTGCTGCTGGTGCTTCGTCGCTCCTCTTCGTCTACTCTCTCGACTATGCTCGTACGCGTCTCGCTAACGACAACAAGACTGCGAAATCTGGTGGCCAGCGTCAGTTCAACGGTCTCGTCGATGTTTACAAGAAGACCCTCGCATCTGATGGTATTGCTGGTCTCTACCGAGGATTCGTTCCTTCGGTCGTGGGAATTATTGTTTACCGTGGTCTCTACTTTGGTGTCTATGATTCATTGAGTGCGTTTCCTCGATCATACGCTATCCCCCTGTTACTCACTTCATTTTTTCCCTGGTTAATTCAGAGCCTGTCGTTCTGGTCGGCGCTTTGGAGGGTAGCTTCTTGGCTTCTTTCCTTCTCGGCTGGGGTGTTACTGTCGCTTCTGGTCTCGCTTCTTATCCCCTTGACACTATTCGGTACGTGGCCTTGTTATCGCATCCAACTATATGTTGACCCACCAATTTGGTAGTCGTCGTATGATGATGACTTCTGGTTCCAAGGTTCACTACAAGTCCATGTTTGATGCCGGTTCTCAAATCATCAAAAAGGAGGGCTCCAAGTCGCTGTTCAAAGGTGCTGGGTAAGCTATGACTTTTTTCCCTAGTGCGGCATTCATTTTACTGATGCGCGTGACTTGAGTGCGAACATTCTCCGTGGTATTGCTGGTGCTGGTGTGTTGTCACTATACGACAAGCTTCAGGATATCATGTTCGGCAAGGTTTATTCTGGTGGCTCTGGCTAAATTATGTCGACCATCTTCCTTTTCATCAATTACGGAACCCGCTAGACGAACTTCACTTTTATTTACTTCTTCCATCCTTTGCTATCCTTCTTATGCTTACACACTCTCAAGGCGATGTTCTACTACTGCGTCTTTTGAGGCTAATAAAATTGAACACGTCGGGTGGCGTAGTGCGAACTGGACTGTGATCCTGAGGCGTATCGACCGCACTATCAATGTCGTTCTCTTTCCAACCACGTCTCTGAGATTGGGCTCATGGGCGCCCATAGAATGACGTCGCTACCACAAGCCGTCGCTCTTGGGTGAATGCCGTTGAGACCCGAGCTAGAGATAATGGCCCCCAATATCGCTGTGTTCACTTGCTTTACTCGTGTGATCAGCTAGTGAAGTGCGGCTATTATTTTTCGATCAAAGCTAGAGACGAATGCCGAGTTCGTGGGTCATCGACCACGAACGAACGTCACCTCGCATGTTTCCATAAGCCGTTGCTCGACAATCTGTATATGTGGGTAGGATACCCAGCCTCTATTGGAATATGCATATATATGGGCAGCCATATACGCTGAAGTCCTGGTACTCCCGCGTTCAGTTGGCGTAGATGCGTAGTTCACTAGTACAGACAATCCGGGGGATCGATCTCAGACCATACCAAGATTATGTATCCCTCGTGTGCCTGACGAGTTGCTCTATGCATGCATGGCTAGCTGTACTGCTAGCTGCCAACCGTCCATGAACAACAACAATCATAGCACATATCGACATAATCTAAAAAGTTACTATCGTATATAGGACCTAGCTGGCTTTGCACTTATATTCATTTTACAACAGCATTTGCCTACGCGTCCACGGAAGGACTGTGGTTGGGTTTCTAGCTTTTGCACATATATACCACACAGTACTAGTAAGTGACACATACGTGAAGAATGAGGGGGAGAGGCAGCACCTGCTGTGCCAGGCCGGCAGTGTCGAGTGATCTTCGAAACAACAGTCACTGGTCTTCGGCGGTCAGGAAGGCTAGTTCGGTTCTTGTCTCCGGCCCCAGCTAGCTCCCACATCAGACATCAGACAGGGATGAACGGGCTATCGGGGCTGTCCCCAAATGCGCAAAGGAATGTAATGAGGTCCAATTGCTACATCAGACGGTCGTGTGGTTACTTAGCTAGTTAGCTGGCCGAGAACAAGCTGGGGGGCGGCCATGAATTATCGATCGCCCCTTTTCATTGGCTGCTAGCTGACTAGGTCCCTGCATCTCTTCGCTGTTTCAGGACTCGGGAATGGCTTGACTGCCCTTATTTCTGAAAGCTCTTGTTCGGATGGAGGCGCTTCATCGGCCTCATTGAGTGAGTGGCGCGCTCTCTGCATGACACCGCTGAATTCAACATGGTAAGCTATGGGCAGCACAGTTGCACAGTTCGATGTACAGCCAATCCTCGAGGACAATAGACAGACCCTCAGCATCCCTTCGATTAACGCGACTTGCGGGTACCGAAGATTCCGGCAGGTATAGTATATACATGAGCTACAATTTCAAAAAGCTAGAAAAATACAAACGCCATCGTGATAGTCTGAACATAGGTTTACAATCTCCGAAACTAGAAAATCACAAGGGTTACCGTGCTGGCGTCACTAGATGCTAGGACAACTTTCCCCCTTCTACTTGCACAAGTTCGACTCGCACCAGATATGATCAGTCCATGTGCACTCCCCGAAGTCCCCATTCCAGCACGTACTGTCCACTCCGCTTCCACCATTGATCTGATAGCATATTCCACTTCCCCCGTCTGAGCTCGTCCACGATTGGGTGTTGGAAATGGTAATTGTAGCACCGCAAAGCGTAGCGGTCATTTCTGGCCCATATTTAAACCCTTGATTAGAGTACGGACCCGATACCACATCGCAGGCGTCTGTTGGGGGCAAGCAAGCATGCATGCATGGTTAAGCACTTAGGGGGCAAGGTTCGGTTCAAGTGGTCCTCGGCCTACCTCGGTTCCCAGGGACGATGACCCCATATTTATCATGTTCGACCCATGGCCAGAACTGTTTGCAGGTGACTGAGCCAGCGTGAAAATCAGCTGCGACGATGGGAAGAAGTAGAACGGTTGGCAGGACGAAGATGCTCCAGGACGGGCGCATTATTATGACTTTTGGAGGACTGGCTGCTAGCTACTGGGGAATTTGCATGGCTGGTCCTTATATCATCGTGCTCCACATGGTTTTCGGCGATGTGAGCGTTTTCTTCAACAAGATTTTCATCCAGTTGTTGAGAGAGACACCTATGACTGGTCACTAGTAAACCAATTAGCCTTGTTCATAACGAGTTTGTGGACGATCCATGTTCCTATCAATGTTTACAGCGGAGTTGGCCGAATTTATTGTTATCTTGTGCTGCGGCGCACATGAGATTACCAATACAGGATAAGAATTTACTTCCAAGAATGTAATCCTTTGGGGTTGTGGCTTCTGGTTGTGTTCGTGATCGTCCATACTAAGTCTCGGACCCTGTCTTAACCATTGATGAAACATTGCATCCGGCCCGCCACACGTACGCCATGCATCTGACTCTTCCCGCGCCACTGGCAGGGGAAGAGGAGGATGAACATTTCCCCCCCTTGTTTTAGGAGTTGCACGGCAGTACGTCTGAACCCAAAGGAACAGGCTTCAACGTAAGCATCAATATGCTGGACATCTGAGACTCTCCGTTATCGTTAGGTCCCAGACGGGACAACACATGTAAGCTCATCGCAGACACCCCAATGCCATCAATATGAGCACAACTGAATGGCGAAGCGCTTTTGTCCGGCGGTGGCGCAGATGAAGATCTAATACGCGCGCCGGTAAAATTTCCGGACCGCTTCGTCAAGTCAGACACAGAATCCATTGGAGATCGCAAGAACTTCTGGGAGGGGGGGGGGGTAGTAGCACATCAGTATAAGGATTACTCGCCGAGACCAATGGTGAGGGGAGGGAACGACTATAACGATGTTGTGCTATCGTTCATCCAGTACGAGCAGGTGAAACTCCGCTGTAGACCCCCAAGCATAGAATATAGCAGTGTAAATCCTTCTAAAACTAATGCCCTGAATGTTGACTTCTTTGCAGAGCCAGAGCAGAAGATAAATTCCGTAGACAGACGCCAGCCTCATCATGCCCAAGAAGGGGTCTGCAAACGATAACCAGTTGAAATCGAAAGCCTCTCTGTAGTAGCACTTCGAGACATCATGTATGGGGACGGCGAAACTCTCTGGGTTTTTCTCCAAACCAAGACCGGAATGCCCGGGATGATTTGGGTGAATGGAACATTAGCATAACGCCTGGAAGTCTGTACTATGAATTGCGTTGAGTAATACAGACCTCCCAGATGTCATACAATGTCATTGGAAAGTAATTGGGAAAACGGAGCTGACGGTAATCAAGTGTCAGATAAGAGATCATGCGGCTTCCATCCTCTCTGTACCTGAAGGACTAAAGGTGGCTTCAAGGACGCGAGAAGTAACGAACGTTGTTCTCCAACGGAGAGAATACTCTGATAGTATGTGAAATGCATCTATGGTGATCAGTCTGGGATATCCGATAGTCTGGGAGCTCTTCTGGGGCGCATTTTGTTTGGGTTGTTGCTAAGGCTTCATGAAGGGCCCTTGTATCCGCATGAATTTGTTTGGAATCCTTTTCCTTAGTCTTCAACCCTCTGAGTCCCAATCGATTACCTATCAATAGTACGTTCAAGGGATTCACTGTAACTATGAGTTGGCAGGATGGCAGGCTGAAGCAGCGTCAGAGGACGGAATATCAAGTTTCACCGGAACGACATTCCAAAAAGGGCAGGCCCGAGCCCGATGAGTCATTTCGGCAGTTTGGGCTCGATCGTCACAACTCCTCTGCCCGATGTCCCCAAGTGACGGCGGCACAAGACGCCTATATCTTTTAGACTATGGCGCAGGAAACGTGCGAAGCTTGGCTAATTCACTGACCGAGCTTGGTTATACGTTCGAATGGATTAACTCGCCAGAGGACTTTCTTAAAGCCGATGTGAGTGAGTGAGTGAGCGAGTGAGTGGACAAGCCAAGCGTTGGCTGCTGCATTCGTTCATTCGCAACTACATACGCTTGAATTCATCCTAATGATTACTGACACGCGAATTTATCGTCACTATCTTTACAGAAACTTATATTTCCTGGTGTTGGTGCCTTCGAAACAGCCATTGTCAACCTCGCTCAAAAGGGCCTTTTGGAGCCATTGAGAGAATACATCAAATCTGGAAAACCGTATTTTGGGATATGTATTGGAATGCAGGTCTTGTTTGCCTCATCGACCGAACCGCCAGCTATGGGGGGATTGGGCATCATCGACACACCAATTGCCGAATTTGACAATGCTGGAAAACCCGTACCTCATATGGGCTGGAATCATGTCACCCTTCTCGCTGGGAATGCTGAGGATCGAAAGCTCGAGACCAAAGAGACAGGGATGAGTGAGGCAAAGACGTATTATTTTGTCCACTCCTATCGCGCTCCCTACGTCGCGACCCGGAATGCCGAATGGGCACATACCACTTGCCAATACGGCCGGGAGATTTTCCTTGCCACCGTTAGACGAAGGAATATTTTTGCATGCCAGTTCCACCCGGAAAAGTCAGGTCCAGCGGGTCTCAAGGTGCTTAAATCTTGGTTGGATGCTCCGATCCACGCCATCGATGCGATATATCCCGAAAGACCGAAACGTCTCATCACCATTCGTGAGATGGATGGTTTTACAAAACGGATCATTGCTTGTATGGATGTGCGAGCGAACGACAATGGGGATCTAGTGGTGACTAAAGGTGATCAATATGATGTTCGCGAAAAGGAAGATGAAGATTCAAGCAATTCCACGGCGATACCATCAGCGACGGCAGCCCCGAGGGTACGACAGGTTCGCAATCTCGGAAAACCAGTCGCACTTGCTAGAAGGTATTACGAAGCGGAAGCCGACGAGATATGCCTTCTCAATATCACCTCCTTTCGAAACTCCCCACTTCATGATCAGCCGATGCTGGACGTCGTGCGACAAGCTGCGTCTCACATCTTCGTTCCCCTTACGATCGGAGGTGGAATCAAAGATTCAGTAGATCCAGATGGTACACCTCGATCCGCCGTTGATGTCGCCGGTGCCTACTTCCGAGCTGGCGCTGACAAAGTAAGCATTGGAAGCGAAGCAGTCTTATCGGTTGAGAAATTGCTCGCTTCACCCGAACAGAAGGGTGATGGGACGAGTCCCATTGAGACTATCGGGAGGGTGTACGGCCGTCAGGCCATCGTAGTGTCTGTTGATCCTCGACGGGTGTACGTGGACCCGGGTTACTCTGGTCCTTATGCGGACGAAGTTATTTTGGGTTCGAAAGCGCTCAACGCACAACCCGGCGAACGCGAGAAAGCTTGGTGGTATCAATGCACCATCAAAGGTGGTAGAGAAGACAGACCGCTCTCGGTCAAGCAGCTCGTTCAAGGCGCCGAAACTCTCGGCGCGGGGGAAATTTTAGTGAATAGCATCGACAGAGATGGAACGAACTCGGGGTATGATCTTGACTTGGTCAATCTCGTTCGTTCTTCGGTGCGGATACCGGTGGTGGCTAGCAGCGGTGCGGGTTCACCCCGACACTTTGTGGATGTATTTGAACGGACAGGTGTCGAAGCAGCGCTCGCGGCTGGGATTTTCCATAGGTTTGAAGTAGAAATAAGTCAAGTGAAAACTGTCTGTCAAAAACGGGGTGTACTGGTACGCCGTGCATGAAGCACACCAAAGATCTTGAATCCATATATATATTCTACTATTTCTAAGAATTCCCCCACACTCGTTCGGCCCTTTTTTTTACTTGTAATTTTGGCGACGGAATGGATGCATGCAAGTTATATAATTGGATGGACGGAAAGCGCCGCCCCGAGGAGGCTTTACCTCTGACCTAGGTGAAACCGCGACTGCCGTCCATCGTGGCGTGCACTCGCCACTAGTCATGGGGGACTCGCACATGTTGGACCATCTTGCACCAACCTACGTACCAGTATGGCAGCGGTAGGATTCAGTCGTACAAGTTGTGGCGCCTAGGTTATCATTGCTCATCTCTTTATATACACACACAGACCCCCAGGACCCTTCAGCGAGCAGATCATCCCGTTTAGTCCGCCTCCTGCTATTGATTTCCGCCTTTATGCCTCGTCTATCTATCCTATCCCGCTTCTCGACTATTTAGATGGTCTTGACAACAAGCACCGGGCTTTATCTGCTAAAGATTGGAATGTATCAAACGTATCAAGTCCTAGCTCGTCGTCAAGGCCCTCTACAGAGCTTCCTCCTCTTCTTCCGCACACGTACGCTACAAGATGGATAAAATTGATGTCCATGGAATATACGGCGCGCTTAAACGCTTTGGTCAGTTCTACGATGTACGGAGTGTCATTGATACCAATACCAATGCCACCCAATCACCCTGCCACCCTGTTCTCGGTCTCTGCACCGCATCTACGCGAGAACTACCCGCCCATATCTCTAAACGACACTGTATGGCTTCGACAATTACGGCCATGGGAACAGAGCTTCCAAGGAATAGCGTTTGAAGCGAGAGTTCACGACCTGCGGCGCGTTGGGGGCATGATCATTATTAGATGCGACGCACTGTCTCAACCTTACATGTGGGAGAGCGGTGTTTTCAATTTGCATTGGGTGCCACAAGAACGCCAATTTAAAGCTTGTCGAGAAGCCCTAGAATGCATTCATGCTAGAATATGTGAAGAGAACGATACAGGGATCGCTCACAGGGTATTATTTCCTAACAAAGACCACCCGAACGGGCCACCTATTCTTGCGACTTCCATTCCTCACTGGATCGATATTGAGTTAAACGAGGAACAGAAAGTAAGACTTTTCGATCGTATGATTTAAGTTTTACACTGCGCTCATCAGCGCGTCCGGTATAGCTCGCTGTGCGGTCAATAGTTACCGGGGGGCACGGTGCCCCATATCTTATATCAGGACCACCAGGTAATATTTTTTTACCATTTAGTCAGCCGGAAGGGCTCTTACCGCGCGTCAGGAACTGGGAAAACAAAGACTATCGTGGAAACAGTATTTCAGATCCTTGAGCATCATCCAAACGAGCATATTCTAGTTTGCGGGGCATCCAACTCAGCAGCTGACACTCTAACGGATCGACTTGGCCAGAGACTAGCCCCGGACGTTCTTTTTCGGCTAAATGATCCAAGCAGGTGAGTGATAAGCTTTTTTTTTTTCCATTCTTCTGATACCACATGGTTGGCAGACCAATGGACGAGGTGCGCGTAGCTCTACACAAATGGTGCCATAGCGAGAATGGTTACTGGGCTCTTCCTCCGGTTAGGTATTCATGAATGACCTTTGTTACGTGTGGGGGTTCTAAATCTTCCTAGGCACCTTCTCTCCAAACGCGTCATCGTTACATCTTGTCTGGATGCATCTCTGCTGTTCTCCGCACGCTGCTCTAATGCTGCACTCGGTATACTGGAAGATCACACCCAGGCACATCTTCAAGCGCCAAATGTACCTCCATTTCCGGAACGCCTTCATTTTGGCTACCTGCTTGTCGACGAAGCTGCCCAATCATCTGAAGCAGAAATATGCATACCTTTGTCGGTTGTGCTGCCGCATATAACCTATTCAAGTTTGGCATCAGCCGCCCGTCCTCATATTACTATTTGTGGTGATTGGAAGCAGCTAGGACCCCGCATAGAGGGCGAGGTGTGCAGGAACAATGATATGGACGTCAGTTTGCTCGAAAGACTCTTTGATCTCAATATTTATAAAGATAACCCTTATTCACGAGAGCGCTCAGCCCGCACCCCAGGTTCTCCACAGCCAACCTCCACTCCATTCTGCAATCTCGTCAAAAACTATCGATCACATCCCGCTATTCTTATGCTACCATCTACATTAGTCAGTAAAAGCAGTTTACTCACAAGACTCAGCTAAACGATTCTCACCTCTAGTTTTATAACGATACTCTCCAAGCATTCGCACCTCAATCTACACAAAATACTCCGTTATCCAAATGGCCATTTCTTAAAACCCCAGATTTTCCTTTCGTATTTATTGGTGTGACCTCTCCGGAAAAGTGGACGGACGAACATTTGTCAATTTATAACCCAGGCGAGGTGGGAATGGTGACGCAAATTATTACGGGGCTTCTTGGATTGGATATTCCAAACAATGCCTTCCACCTCCCGGCTCAACACCGCCTTCAACTCTCCGCACCTGACATAAGTGTCATTAGCCCCTTTCGCGAACAGGTTGCGCGGATACGTCAAGCTTTACGTTCTATTGGACTAGGCGCTGTGGATGTCGGCGATGTTGAAAGTTTGCAAGGGGCTGAAAAGTAAAACCTGAACCTTGTATCCGGGGTAGTGTCATGCTGACCGCGCAGTATGTTCCTCGTCCTAGTCGCGTGGTGATAATCTCCACCGTACGGTCATCATGGCAGTCGTTAGCTGAAGACCATCGGCTGCATCGTGGCATCATACATGAAGCCAAGCGATTCAATGTGGCGTTGACCAGGGCCAAAGAGCTAAGTATTATTGTCGGGAATGGAAGCATTTTAAAGGTTTGCCAGTTTTCCGCTCAAGACTCTTTGCGTAGTATGCAGGCTGACAACTGCCTGTGAGGTCGATCCATGGTGGAAGCAGGCATTGTGTTTCGCCATGCGAAACAATGCATATGAGGGCCCACCCATCGAAGGAATCGATTCATTGTCTATTGACGTATTCTCTCGGCTTGAAGAGAAATGGAGGAAGTCCAGGGGGCCAAATGGACATCTCTCTAATGGTACCCAGGAGGACGATGAGGGTACGGGTTTGACCGTTGGAAGTGTAGTCAGAGAAACTTTAATCGATAAGGATTAATTCTTCGTTCAGTATAACACGCGAGGCGCAGGGATAACGCAGGTACGTTTATTGGAGTTGGTGACTTTGTTGTAAAAAAAACCCTTACACTATTTTACAGCTATTTACTTACTATTACATAACATTTGGATTTTTCATGGTTGGAATACGACATATGCGCTGGCGTAGCTGACACTCGAATCTCGTATGGTCTCGCACGCACTACTTTGCGCATACCTCACCCATCCCAGGGTTGCCACACGCTTCTCTGCTTTCCCTTTTTCGAGAGCAGCCAAGGCGCCCATCAAAACGCCAATTGGGTGCCTACCGCATATAGTGTTTTTTGTCCGGGCAAGGTACTGTGCGAATGCATCGTGGGCATCCTCGGCGCTTTTTTGCTCTGTATCTGCAGATCTATCAAGTTTGAGGGCGTTCATGCCCTCATGATCCAGTGCACGAATAGAGGCATGTATGGAATGTGAAGTGGGTTTTTCGGATTGAGAAAGCTTCACATGTTTGGAGCAAGGAAGTGGTGTGGGATAGTAGAACGTATATGAGAACCGAGTTCCCCTTTTTTTTTCGTGGCTGAGTTTTATGTTTCACGTACTGTAATCGGAAAGGCAGGACTTACCAATGACAGAAATCGGATGAGATGACAAAAAATGTGTCTGGAGCGTCTAAATAGGGTGCCAAGATTTCGCCGTATGACTTTTCTTGCTTAATGTTAATGGCCCCTACGAGGATGGGAACAATTTTGATGTCTTTCCTGTGGATTGTTTTTGACGGCGTTCTCAGCCAGTGATTAAATAACGGTATACTTACCCTTCGAAGATCTTGCGGACATAGGGCAGATGCATTTCAATGCTATGCTCATCCTCATCGGTGGATTCGCTCATTGGGGAGAATTTCCCGGTCGCCTCCAACTGCTTAGTTGCTTTGAGATATCAGGTGAAAAAAAAAACAACAACAACAACAACACCCCAAAATCACGCGAATCGAAACTCACTTTCAAGGTCAATCGGTAGATCACCGATCGGAGTTTGGTAAGTCTGACACTGGGAGAGTGCACATTCGGCTAGATACACATGATGAGACGGTCCCAAGATGAAAACTCGTTTGCTGTGATACATTAGCCCGAATGGATTTCTCTCAGTCAAGAATGTTGTCAATTAAAACACTCACATGTTAGTTGTATGGATGCTCTTGTAGGCCCATGCAGCCGTGGGACCAGAATAAGCGTAGCCGGCATGCCTTTATCGTAGATTGCGTTAGCAAACTCCCTTCATAAATTCGAGTGCGTTGACAGTGTCATACGGGGCTATGATGGCCTTGCATCCCTTGATTGGGGGCTCGAATGACGCATTAGTCTCGCCGGCTTCAGGTGTGACGGCAGATAACCATCCCTTGAGCTCATCGTTCAGCGTTGGTCCTTGAATGGCGCCAAGAACCCGATCTCAAAACCAACGATCAGGAACGTGATTACGATATGGAGCGACCGACCGTGCGATGAGTACCAAGAACCTGCGTGCGTGGCCTGCCTGTTTTTCGACTTCAGATGGAGGGGTTCGAGCGATGCTCTCTCCTGGTCACGAAATGATACCTTGTTGTCATGCTGTTCTCGTCCGCGCGAAGCGACAGTGAAAGCCCCACCGATCTCACACGAAGTGATGATCCGATACCAAGTTCAGAAAGCCGATGACAATCACGTGTGGAAGGGTAGGCGCGCGCCTGGGAGAAATGCAATTGATCTTTGATGAATACGGGAGAGCATCGGCTTTCAGCAAGGTACGTGTGTGTGATGGTGGTGGCAGTGCGGCTTTCCCTACTCTGTGCAACTATCCTGATCCTCTTGTCTCCTGCGCAGGATTTACATATTGATAAATTTCACAGCCTGAAGGATATCCTTTTCCCAATGCATGAGGGTGGGGTTCCGCGCCCGAGTTATGTAAATGTCTAAATTCCTTGTGCTAGAAAGATTGGTGCCGGATTTAGATGAATGACCCGATCATCCAAATACACCGCCGCATAACTCAATTGCATCTCACTTCTTGAGCTACCATCTGAGGCTTTTTCCCCCCATCTTGCTAACCAGCTTTAAGTATCACGCGGAGTTCTGCCCGTGGCACCGATGTTGCTGAGATATCCGACGTGCTCATCTAATAGTCTCAGAATCGGGGGTGTCTTGACATTCAATATCAAGATTTTCTTAATCACCGGTTGGCGCTTGTCTGCAAGCGCCTTGCTTCACCTGCCTTGGCTCCACAAGCCTGTTGAGGGGTTGCATAACATCTCCTCTTCCTTATGTGTTGCTCGCCCGTCGTTATCCATGTAATTCCGGCCCAAAACTGGGTTGATACACCTCTGCACTGCCCGCTATTTCGTTCTGCATTTTGCGAAACCAATCCATCCTAAACCCATGCAGCACCCAAGTTCCGTTGCTTTAACCATCGGACATTTACCATTTCATTCTATGTCAGTCAACACATCGTCAACACATCGTCAATGCACTCATTCACGCCGTGCAAAACCTTCGTCTTAGTATATTGAATCACGGGCGCAACCTCTCATCTCCACTCCATTTTCCTGCCCCGCATACGACTTTCAGTTTCATTCATATCATGTCCTTACCCCAGTTGCGACCATTGCCCAATCATGGCTGGTCACCTTGGCCGTTCTCCTCCTGAATAAAAGTTTTGCCATCCACATGGTCTTCATGCACCGGTGCCATTGGGGCACGATGATAAGCGCCCATTCCCTGCGCCGAATCTATAAGTCGGAGCAGGACGGCAGGAGCATTCAGGCTTCCATGCGGCTTATCCTGAATCGGAGACAACATCCTCCCCCCATGGTCTGCCATCCCAAGGAACAAAGCCTTCTCTTCTACCCTTCACGTCATCTTCGGCCAAATATAACCCGAATAAACGGAACCATCTCTCCAGTTCTGCACATTCGCTTCTGGAATTCATTGTACCCGATGAGATATTCAAATTGTTCGCGACGCTGAATCGAGGACACTTGTGGAATGAGGCTCTGTCAAAATCAATGAGCCTGATCCCCTTTGAACTCTTCACAAAATTTCGGCGGGCGACATCCCCATGTGATACGCCAGCTTCGTGAAGCTTCACCTGAAGCTCATACAGGGTTCTTCTAAAGTGGGGAGGAAGATCCGTTTCTGTGAGTGCAAATGGACCCTGCATGAAAAAATTGACAACACTGACCGCTCGGGGAGTGGTAGCCGCTTGTAAGGGAACGGCAAGGCGTCCCCGGCGTCCTCAAGTATTAAGCAAGCAGATGTCGCCCGCTCATTTACAGCGTATCCTATGCACAATGGAACGATCGACCCCTGTAATGATCGAAGACCTGGGGAAGACGATGCATATATACGCGCTTCGTGGGCCAAGTCAAGTAGAAAAGGAGCAGCGTTGTTCCGCTTGCGATGTTGATTTGAATATAGAAAATGACGAGCACCGTGAGGACTTTGAGTTATGAAAGAAGTTGGTGCTACAAGCTTAACAACGACATGAAGAATTGAGGAAGAATCCTCGAGTTGACCACGAAAAACGCGGCCAATCCTTCCGCGCGCTAGTTCCTCTTCATTGAGACGAACAACGCGTTCGGGTTCATTTTCGATATTTCCCAGCGACCTAGACCATGGGTCTATGAACCTGAATGGCTCACGAGCGACGTCAAGGCCATCGTGAAGGAGTCTGAGGGTCCCAAATAAGATCATTGAGTAAATTCCGGCAGAGTCCGTTTTGGCAGCCCTAGAAAAACGCTGAACCGCAAGGGCTTGCTTCCTTCTGGTGCCTCATATCCCTCATCGAATCAAGCCACCTCTGAAAACGAAAGAGAGAGAGAAAAATCAGAGAAAAATGGCACCTATTATCCAACATCCTGCTCCTGACTTCAACAACGTTGTCTCCGTTGAGGCTGGCGAGTTCAAGGAGGTCTCCTTGAAGGACTATCGCGGAAGATGGTACGATCTTGGTTGTTTTTTTTTGGTGCAGGGACGCAGAAAGTACTAACGTGTTATCTCAGGCTCGTTCTATTCTTCTATCCTTTGTGCGTACATACTCGTGTTCGGCTCCAAGCCCTTCTCTAACGCTCACGGGACTTGGCTTGAATTAGGGATTTCACCTTCGTGCAAGTGACTGTGACAATTGGCACTCTTTGACTCTTAGTGACACGACGACTTTAGCTGCCCCACAGAGATCATTGCATTCGACAAGGCTCTCCCTGAGTTTGCCCAAATCCACACTGCCGTTGTCGGTCAGTCAACATTTCCCACCCCGTTCCGTCACGTTGAATTTGAATTAAATTCAAAAATTTAGGCGTGTCGACCGATTCGGAATACTCGCACTTGAAATGGGCCGAGCTTAACCGCAGGGAAGGTGGTCTTGGACCTAACCTCCAGCTACCTCTGATGTGAGTAGCCATGTCTTCGATTGAAAAAGAAGGCACTCAAAAAATATTTCGTGTCCAATAGTGCCGATCGAAACATGAAACTGTCTCGTGATTACGGCGTTCTGATCGAGGAGAAAGGAATTGCCTTACGTGGACTCTTCATCATTGATCCTCAGGGGATCCTTCGGTGCGTTTACAAATAATGTCCATTCTCCCCTCCTCCCCTCCCCCCCTACCTTCCAGCACGCGCAGCTCATGATTTTCTTTCTTTCAGTCAAATCACCATTAATGACTTACCAGTTGGTCGTTCAGTTGAGGAGACCCTCCGACTTGTCAAGGCATTCCAGTTCACTGTGAGTCATCTTCTGGTTCCTTTTCCCCTTATAGATTGGATGGGTGATTGATCGCTCGTCCGTAGGATAAACATGGTGAGGTCTGCCCCAGCGGTTGGCAGGAAGGCGGCCTTTCCATCAAGGCTGACCCCAAGGATTCCCTCGAATACTTCAGCGCTGTCGAGAAGAAGAGGGATGCCGATAGCATGATCATCGAGCCAAGCAGCCACACCCAGAAGCGTACCAAGGCTTGAACCAGCGTGTCATAGAATCGCTTGTTTCGTTTCAGTTTTCCCGACTCTTTCGGTTTTGCTTGCCCATGATCTACAGCCTGATGAGAATGTTCAATTTGCCATCTGTATCATTTGTAGATGAGTTTTGGGATACTCATGTAGAGTGCTAGAATGCTGCTGTTTACAAAGAATCCAGTTCCAGACGCTTCATTCCGAATGTTGTTGTCGGATTCGGGTATTCCCGATGTACAATTAGGTCCCCCCGATAATGGGCCCCCGTGCCTTAATGGATTTCGACGAGGCACTGGGCCTTGACATGATGTTCCCAGTATGTCTCTGTATATTTTCCCTTTGTGGATTTTTGGCCATCTAACAGTTGTGGCAGGAGCCAGAGCGTCCTCCATCACCAGAACCTACAACAGAACGGTATACAAGATCGAAAGCCAATGTTAATCGGGCTCGGTCAGATGGTGTGATCGCTGCCGACGTCTGGGAGTCGATTGACGTGAGACTTGTCGGGTCTCATCCCCTTTGGGGTGACCATCTGTATGTGGGTGTTCAAAGCCTTCCTTGTTCCCGCAGCGTTACGAATCGACAACTTCAATTCTTTTCAAAGATGGAATGCCGCTAAAGTCTTTGCAAACCTTCTTGATGCCGATTCAAAATTACTTTGTGAAGGGAAGAACGTTTTGGAATTAGGTGCTGGTGGTGCATTGCCCGGAATGGTTGCTGCTTTGAGTGGCGCACGTCGGGTTCGTTGGTTACAAGAGATTCTGCGTTGCCACATTCTGACGGGTTCCCTCAAATCAGGTGGTTATAACGGACTATCCTGATCATGATCTTATCGACAACATAAATTACAATGTGGAGAAGAATGTTCCTCTAGGAATACGCTCCCGAGTTCACGTTCAGGTAGGTTCACGATCGCTCGGCGACGAAGAATGGATGGGATAATCAGCACCCAAGGGATTTAAGTGGGGTGCCAGGTCTGAGGGCTTGCTGGACGCTCTTAAAACGTCTGGTGAAACAGAGACCCCGCGCTTTGACCTCATTCTCATGAGCGATCTCATATTCAATCACTCCCAAGTGCGTCCACACCCGATTCAGCATTGAGAATATTGAACTCACGGCAGACAAAAACTCGTAGCACGATGCTCTGCTGCGCACATGCGAAGAAACTCTCGCCCCAGACTCAGGACGGTCATTTAGAACCGAAGATACATCATTAGTATCTACACCAGTCGTATTAGTATTCTATACGCATCACCGACCACATCTTGCTCATCGCGACCTCAACTTCTTCGAAAAAGCCAAAAACAGAGGCTGGAAATGTGAGGAAATTTTCACTGTAAAAATGCCGGTACGGTGCAAGCGCGAGCAATAACCGAAGACTCGTATAAGGACCTAACAATATTCTCTCTATTTCCAAGGTGATGTTCCCTGAAGACTCGGGTGATGTCGAAATTAGGTCAACTGTGCATGGTTGGAGGGTCTATCGATAATGGGGCTTGGCCGATGCGGCAAGCACCCAACACGACAAAGTCTAGTCACCCCCTGCATATCTATACATTCCATAGATGTACAGTCATTATCACTTAGCCCAAACGAAGAATAAATACCCCAATAGCACTACTAGTTCCCCACCTATTGTGCCAATCGCTCGTATATTGAGAACGTTGACGAACGTTGATTCTTTGGAGCCTTTCGACCACCGGTAGTTCTACAGAGCGTCTTGAGTGACGTAACAGAGAAGAAATCCCCAGACGTACTGTTGTTCCTGACAGATGAAGTATTCCGGAGCCGCCTTCCACTCTTCTATCAGATAATTTGAACGATCATATTCTTCCATTCCTCCATCATCTGACCCGAAAAGGTCAATCGCAAGTTTCGTATGAGAGACACCGGCATATGTGGTAACACATCGAGGATTGATGATGACTCGTGCCGGTTCGAAATCAGAGTTGGGTACATTTAATGGCCCTTCATGACTTTCAAGAAGTGAAGGTGTGTTGGGGTTTTGTGGCATTGCATCGTAGTCAGATCCAACGTTCGCGTCTGCGTCTTTTGCACCCGAAGCTGGTTTTGGAGGCATGTCCAGTGGTCCCTTAGGCATCTCCCTGATGTTATCCGGTTTCTCTTTCTCATTCTCTTGGGGCGGCTCAGCCTCATCTCGAGGGGCTATCCATCGTCTTGGGGGGTTATTTGGAGTATTCTTCTCGTCAACGGGCAAAACGGGCGGTTTCTTTGGCTGGTCCACAACTCCCATCCCAGCTCTTGCGGCTTCCACCCAGATATCCCGGCAGAACCAAGCCTGTGTAGAATCCATGCACTCGTCCTCCGGTCGTCGGTCCGGAGCTTGGCCTCGATCCTCTTCCATCGTGGTATTGAAGAAATTTTTGCTGTATCGGTACTTAATGCTGCGGTAGTACGTTTGCGCGGGGTCAACGATGTGAGTACCCGATTCGCAGCAGAACACTTGGAAAGGGAGATGTTTGGCATATCGTTCGGCGGCAGTTTCCTCTCGGGGAGGTGGACTTGGTGCAGATGATCGGGATGCACGGAATTGATCACCAACCATGTCTCTTGTTCTCCAACTAAATGGATGTTGTCGTGGTCAATTGGCATCAATTTGTAAATGGATATGTCCTTTACCGATCTGAGAAGATGAACGCTCCGTTGCTCTCCGCCCAATCCATCCCGCAAGTCATAGCTGCGCGATTTTCTTGGCTAACCTTTAGGTTCTCCAGGATATCGTTCGGACAGGTGAAACCTTTCAGCCAAATGACTTTATCGAACCTGATATTGCGCTTGGCTTTGAGCTCATGTAGCGGCTCCAATGCAAGGTTGCGAGCATATGCTTCTTCGCCCGGATAATATGCTGCTATTTCTGTCTCTGTCATAGGAGGCACGCGTCGGATTCGGAATGGAATGCTGAGAAGTAGCATGACGGCTTCGGCTAGATCCGTGAGAGTTTCCGTGGAGTCTCGCGAGTTGTAATCAAGCATAGAAACGAAGATATTCCTTGTGCCCAAGCGGCGAGCAAGCTGGATTATGGTCGCCATTTGATCCACTAGGAAGTGATCTGCTGAATGAACGACGATAGCGATGTAGTAGAGGTGCCCGGGTCCAGAAAGCTCTTCAAAAGCTCCGTCACGCTTGTTTTGACCAAACGGACGACTCAATGTCGGGCATGCAGCGGCAACCCAGCCATTCAGCCCAAGAAGATCCTCAATGGCACTACGAACAGCTTGAGCATCGATGTGAGAAGTGTCCGGATTGTCCATACTGAAAATGGCGGCATGGCATGTGGTCAATACGGGTAACTTTTGAAGAGATCATGCTGCTCACTAACAAAGGAAGCTGAAAGCGATTCCAAAAGTCCTTGGTACTATCATCCACAAAGTCACTGAGCATATCCGGAGATTCATCCCTGCCTATCCTCATCTGCAACCATGGATATTTCTGCACGTCCAAGACCTTATCAAAGCCGCCCGTGACACGCTCTAGGACATTGTGACGTGTGATTTCAGTGTCGCTTTCCGGAGAGAAGAAGACCCAGCGTAACACGAAGAAACCAATCAACAGGTATAGCGCACGAAACCACGAGCGTCGACGAAATGAAATGACGATGCTCATGCGCGCAGACTACAGTGGAGGGTCTGGCGAAGACTGAATTCCAATTATTGGAAAAGGCAAGATTCTTTTGGAGCTTCGATTCAAATAACCACAAACTCAAGTTTCGGGCGCTCATCCAGCCAAGATGCCACCACCACATTTAATGACCCTCGCAGACCTGTCCATCGGGCAGATTAGATTTTTGTTGTCTCATTCAAAGAAGTTGAAGACAGCTGCTGTACAACAGCTCAGGCCTCGAAGGGTTCCTTTTCCTCCACCAGTCCCACTAGCCTCACGAAGCCTCGATTCGAAAACCGTTGCTTTGTTGTTCGCAAAGAGAAGCACAAGAACTCGAGTTTCAGCAGAAACTGCCACCAGTCTGCTCGGTGGTCGGGCTTTATTCCTCGGGAAGGAAGATATTCAGCTTGGCGTAAATGAATCTGCTGAAGACACTTCAAAAGTGCTCTCTAGCATGGTACAAGGTATATTCGCTCGAGTGGGGGATCATTCCGAAATTGAGGCAAGCAAGGGTGTCGCTGGTATTCTATTCTAAACATGACTCATTCATTATGCTCAGGAAATGGCGAAGCATTCTGCTGTTCCGGTCATCAATGCTCTATCCTCGCTTTGGCATCCAACCCAAATTCTTGCCGATCTTCTCACTTTGCACGAGCACGGGAGCCATTTCAAACCTCGAGGTTCGGGGGGCTCCACCTATAGCGGACTCTTCCCTCCTCTAAAGTCACTCACGATCACTTGGCTCGGTGATAGTTCCAATGTACTACACGATATGCTTGTTACTTTCCCTCGTTTCGGACACAAGATGCGAGTAGGCGTCCCTCCACAACAGGCCTATCAGTGCCCTGCACCAGTTTGGAATCGTGTCAAGGAGCTTGGATGCGATCAGGGAATACACTGGTGTCACGATCCACGGGAAGCAGTTAATGGTGCGGATGTTGTCATTACAGATACTTGGTGTGCAACTACCAATGACTCTTGAGTGTTTTATTGACTCTGCTCCTTCAGGATATCCATGGGCCAAGAAGCTGAGAAAGAACAGCGTCTGCGGGATTTCCAAGGCTATCAAGTCACTGAAGCTCTCTGTCGTGAAGGCGGGGCTAACCCCGACTGGAGGTTCCTTCATTGCTTACCCCGAAAACAACATGAAGTAGACGACGAGGTAACTGCCCTTTATTAGTCAATATTCAAAACTTCTCTAATCGGGTATCAGGTGTTTTATGGGAACCGATCCCTTGTTTTCCCCGAGGCAGAGAATCGAAAATGGACCATTATGGCACTTTTCGAGTAAGTACATTATTCCTGGCACCAATCACCACTCATTTGGGCTTCCAGCGCCATGTACGGTGCTTGGCATATACCGGAATTGCCAGAGTAAGATGCGCGTTGGACAGTGTACATTTCAGATGAGTCCTTGGAAGCTCAAACCCCCAAAAATAGCGGCAGTCATTGTTGCTGAGATGAAATTAACCTAGAAGATATTGATGACTCTCAGCAGAAAAAAATTCTACACGAATGTAGCCCCGACCTGATTATTATTCAAAACATTTAGACCGCTGATATCGGTGACTTCTGGTCCTCTAGTCAGAGATTCATCGAGAAGGATTTGCTTCTTGTCCTTGTGGTATCTCGTCTTCTGAAGTGTTGCTCCAAGCAACGAGTCAATCTAAGAGGGTCAAAATGCAAAGTGACAGGTAGGTCACATGAAGTGGGGAACGGATCAAAGTCACGCACGTATGAGCCTAGCGCGCCAGCTACGGCACCGTATAGAACCAATCGGCCATACTCGAATAGTTTGCTATACTTCCAGTCGTGGGCAGAGAGGCAAGTACCACCTTCAAGGAATAGTTCGAATCCTAATATGGCGCCTATTAGTGCCCCACCCAAAACACTTGCAAATGTTCCAAGAAGAGTCATCCCTCCATTCGTTCCCGGGGGGACTTTCTTCCATGTGGTAACGAGCCGGGGGGTTGATTTTGCAAGGACACCTATCTCAGATGCAAGAGTGTCGCCCAAACAGCACGCCATATGCCTGTTTCCCATGCGAAAATATCAACAATGTACATAGTGATCTAGAAAGGTCGTGGGGAACATACCCTAAATAGGCGAGTAACAGTGCGCGACTGCGGCTCATCTCTCTCCGATATGCGAGTGGGCACCATGAGATCTGAGTATGTAATGAGGGTGGGCCCAAATATCGCTCCGTAAATGGCGACATCAACCGCGCATGCAAAGAGCCAGAGATAAACAAGTTCGACCAAAGGCAAACGATTATTGTTGCAGTGAACGAGTTGCTGAGGACCTGTGGTATAATTGGGGAATCGGGGTAGAGCGAAAGCTCGGCATGGAGCGATCTGAACGACCAGAGCAAAGTGACACTTACTTGCCACGCGGTACGGTTTCCTCCAACTTGATGGCCCTCCTCTAATATTATCTTACGCTCTTGTCCATACTTAGTAGCCTGACGCATGTAACCGTTAAGGGATCCGGTCTCGGCCCGCATCGTGTTTCCAACGAATACAACTCGCCTTAGATGCAACAAGATAAAACGCAATCAACGTGACACCAAAGACTCTTAAAGGTGCGCTCATAATGATGAAGCCAACTATCAACCCTGCGACTGCTCCAGATGAGGAGAGGGAGCCCTTTCTGTAGCCATTGACTTCAGTTGGCCCGCACAGAACGCAGGCGTTAGCCTACATTCAAAGTACACCAGGAAATAACTGAGAAGAACCTGATAGGTATGTAGCCAGAAGGAAGGGTATGACTAAAGATTGTATGGGGAATGGTCCTAGTTCCATCGTATGATTTTGTCCAAATGTTGACTACTTATGTACTTGGTGTTGACACTTTTCTTAGGAGACCGCACAGCCACGTCGAACGGTTCCACTGCTGACGTGAGCATTCCAGTAGTGGAGCTTCCCACGCTGCACGGCCTTGGCTGCTTGATTGTGATAATCAGTGTCTGATTTTATCACTAATTACTGCGACCAACCATCGTCGGCCAACAGTTGGGGTTGCCCAATTCACGCGCGTAAATTTATGCCTCCGTTAGGCTTTGGAACGTAGCCAACTGAACCGCATGGCGCAGTTTCTTGCGAATGTTCTACTACATAGTACTAGTTCAGATCGTCAATTTGCGGTGGAAGTGACGATGGCCGAGTCCGCCAATCGTTTGAAGTTTGGGCGGCGCGATGATAATCAAGTGGATGAGATTTACCAAAGTAAAAGCAAAAGGTACACAAAGCACAAGCAATCACGTCGTAATCTACAACTTGGGCGGCGGTGCCAACTTGGCGGATTCGGCATAGAGAGCATCCAACTCCTTTTTGAATTTAAGAGCTGTCTCTTTCCGTTTGATTTTGAAAGTAGGAGTGAGAGTGCCATTTTCCGGTGTGAAAGGCTCGTTCGTAATATGGACGAGCTTGACGGTCTCAAATCTAACGTGGATCATCATCAGCGTTTAAACTCAGTCACCTTCAACCAAGAGGAGTCAGATTCGCGCACCCTTTAAGTCCACGCTCCCTCGCTACCGCATTCATGTTGTCTAAAATCTCTTTCTTGATCTGTGGTAGAGTGATTAGCCCATCCAGAGCATTTCGGTCAGTCGGGTCCTTCTTGCCAAGACCGAGACGAGCGGCAAGATCGGTGATGGCGATGGGATCCGGGACTACAACTCCAACGAGGTGATCTCGGAGCGAGTCACCATAAACGAACGTGGTTTGCAGGAGAGGAACAGTACTGTAGATGTTTTCCACCTTTTCAAGAGCTACATATTCTCCTTGCGAGAGCTTCATGATGTTCTGCGAGGAAAAAGGAATAAGTGACGAAGTATGCCTAGGGGAAACAAAAGCTATACCTTGACACGATCAATGATAGCTACACGACCGGCGCTGTCAATTGAAGCGACATCACCAGTGTGGAGCCAACCCTCGGAATCAATAGTCTTTTTAGTATTTTCGGGGTCTGCATTAAATGAAAGTTAGAATTCGTGCGGGCAATGTTGTCGTGGATGGATATCTCACCTTTGTAGTACCCTAGAGTGTTGTTCCAACCGCGCGTACATAGCTCGCCTCGGGGATATGGCTTGTCCTGAGAAGTGTATCCCATCTCCGGCACATCGATAAGCTTAACCTCATTGCAGGGTTGTGGAGGACCACAGGTGCCCACACCAAAATGATCAGGAGGGGCACCGCGTAGGCAGGTACCACAATTCTCGGTCATGCCGTAGCCCTCAACAACCTCTGCACTAAAGGCAACCTTGAGGAACGTAAGCACCTCGCCGCTGATAGGAGCTGAGCCACTGGAAATCATCCCGACGTGGCCGCCTAGGAGAGACCGAATCTATACCGACCTAAGCATTGAGGCATCGAATTCGCGGGACAGAGCTCCCTACAAACCTTGCGGAAAACGAGTCCATCCCACAAAGGATGCACTCTGCTTCCGGTAGCAAACAACCGTTGCTGTTTCGCGTCAATGGCTTTGCTCAACAAATAAGCCTTTATACCACCGTTTGCGAGAGCTGCCGAAGCACCGGCATAGACCTTGTTAAGCACACGAGGCACAGATGGGAAGTAAACAGGCTTGAGGATCTGAGCATCCTCGAGAAGGCGGAGATTGTCGCCACTGAAATAGCCGATGGGGCCTCCCATCGCGATGGATAGCAGTTCAGCAAAACGCTTAGAAACAAACAACGTAAACACCACAGAAAAACAATGAATAGGGGCACGCACAGCATAGATGTGGGCAAGTGGCAGGTAGCTGAGAAGGGGACCATCGGGATGATGAAGCATTCCATGAAGATTGGCCCAAATGGAGACAGCCAACCCGCCATGTGTCAACAAAGCACCTGTAATACACGTGAGAAACCTGTTGTGGGCTAACAGGTGAATTGCGCACCTTTGGGGTTGCCCGTTGTGCCCTGGGAAGACGTTAGCGAAAGCAGGGACATTGAAGAAAAAATCTACTTCACCGAGGTGTAGCAGATCGTGGCAATGGTGTTAGGCGTAACTGGTATCAAGGGTAGGTTATGGGCCTTTCCAAGCGCCTCAACTGTGTGGGAGGTTTCAAGATTCGATCATAAGGAATCGGTGAAACCAGACGACGCTGTACCTTCCTCTAACTCAAGAACCTCAACCCCTCGATCTTTCCCCCAAGCCCTCAACAAAGGTTTGGCCTGGTCACCAAGATTGTCGAAAGAAACGATTTTGCGGAGAGCAGGAAGCCGGTGGGCGAGTCGCAGAAGTTCAGGGACCTTTTCAGGCGCACAGAAAATGACCGATAGAGTAGCATGATTGACGATGTACTCTACGGAGTCAGGTCCAAGGGTGTCGTACAAGCTGACGCTGACTTTTGCATAAGCTTGGCAGGCCAAATCGACCAGCTGCCACTCTGTTGTTTAAAGTTCATATTTCGTCACACCCCGTCACGCAATTTGAGCTAGTGTGTGAAAAAGCACTTGCCTGGGCGGTTAATACTCCAGATACCGACAGCCTCATAACCTTGATCACCTTTCACAAGTTTCCCATCCTGGAACCATTGAGTAATTGCTGACCCGATGTAGCGACGCCGTTGGTCGACTTCGTTGAAAGTAAGCCAGGAGTAAGTGGGCGCAAACTTGACAGGGTTCTTGGAGATGAGCTTGCGCCATCCAAGACAACGATTGTTTGCTCCGTGCAACATGCCGGAGTTGAACACATCCTGAAGATTCTGAATCGGTTGATTCTCCGGGGTGATGAGCTCGGGCCAAACGGCTAATGATTACAAGCTGTAAGAATTACCTCCAGAATACGAGAGGGACATCCATACCGTTCCTCCAAATGCCTTGGGGTTTTGAAAATGGACGTTGAGATTGACGGCTGCGAGATGGGATTGCCGGTGCGAGGGAACGTACCTGTCTGTCCTAGCTTGCGAGTGCCTGGCAGCTCAAACGCGAGCTTATTGTAATCTGTCCCCTCTGGGAATGGAATTGCTTCGCACTTGTGCACCATCTTGTTGCCAGAGGACGTCGTCTTGCGTGAGAGTAGTTGGGGTTGAATTCATTCTCCGTATTTGCACTGCTATTCCTAATGTGGTCAATCGGCAGTCTCCTCTTCACATGTAGGATCCCGGCCTCTACTAATATCCGAGAGCCGATCGCGGTTCATCTCCTTTCCACGGCAGAGAGGACATGATCAGAGCTGTTTTCTTTGATATAGGGGGTGTTGTCGTGTCCTCGCCCCTCATTGCCATCCATGCATATGAAAAAACGTTGTCGCTACCACCGGTAAACATCGAGCATTTCTCTGACTCCAGCCGAGTTCATGATTTTTTGTTCAGGACTACCTCAACGTTCAAATGTGAAGCCTTGATTATGCCGCTTGGCTGTACTAATATCTTTGTCACTTTCCAGTGTGTCTCGAGGAGAAGGTGGGGCTTGGCAACAATTCGAGCGTGGGGAGCTTCCCATCTTTGAATTTTATGAATTGTTTGGGCGGGAACTGTCGGATACCAAGAAGGGGAATGAATGGTATTCCCAACACCTAAGGAAGAAAGGAGTCGACCCTGGTGTGCACTGTGATTTCATACTCATTATTTACCTTTAAGCCGCATTTCCGCTGGAACAGAAACGGTTGAGCTTCCCAAGTCACTGGCTATCAATGGGCGTGAGGTGAGTTTGGGCAATGCACTAGTATATTTTCGACTGAGCATGCTGGCCAGCTTTTTGGGATGATGATGCGAGGGGCTCAATACGATCGATACATAATAGAAGCCATTGGACACATTCGCGGTAGGCACAGGTCTTTTTTTTAGGCCACCCAACTCCATCTTTCTTTCAAGCTAGCAAAAAGTTTCTTACCATAGCTCTAACAAATAACTTTATCGAGCCCTACAATTCAATCCTAGCCACTCCTCCAAGCGCAACATTCACACCCCAAGAGGAACTCGCCTTCCTAGGCTGGACCGAGGGTGCCGTTCCAAAAGCTCTCAGGGATTTGTTTGACGACTTTATCGACTCAAGTCAAGTAGGAATGCGCAAGCCCGAACCGGAGTTCTTTTTGTATGCCTGCAAAAAGCATAATCTGAAACCGGAGGAAGTAGTCATGCTTGACGACCTAGGAATGTGAGCAAATCTGCTTGTTGGCTCTAATCGCAAAGCTAATCACTGTGTCCTATAAATAAGAAACCTCAAGGCTGCCCGTACACTTGGAATGAAAACAATACGTTCGTCCCTTTCTGCGCTGACTATATAGTTCGTACTTACGAATAGCCGTTTTAGTTGTTCCCATCGGGGAGACCAAGCAGGCTGTCCTGGATCTACAGAATATTTTAGACATCTCTCTGTTAAGTGCCGTTGACACTACTTCGAAGCTATGACACAAGTCCCGTTCTCTCCATCGATGTCTCCGAGCACATTGCCCCAAACCACAAACTGACACAGACCCACTGCAATATTCATGTACATATTAATACCTAACATCATTTTCCCCGTATCTCGCGCTGTAAAATCAGAACGTGGCAATGTCCCACCCCTCTGATGCGCTGCTCTATGATGTCGCCGGTTCATCGTTCGGTTTCGTAAAGATGCAGTCTCGCACGACGCCCTCAAAGAGATCATTCACGACCTCTTCACTTCTCACGCTGAGGATACTGAGAAGCGTTTCGCTCATACCATGCGTTTCCTCCGCGATACCTTGGATGTAAATCCTTGGAAGGAAGTTCCTTCGTGTATCCCCAACCAAATCCTCCTCGACAGGTAGCAAGCGATACGCCCGGCTAATTCGGATCTTGTCTAATGGTGACTCAATTGCTGTCACGTCTTCGGCAGGCTCCGTGGCAGCACTCATTTCATCGATGGAATCAGTGAAAAGTTGGTCCTTTGATTGATGGATCTCCCCTTGCTCCATCGGTGGCTGGATTGGTTCGGACCTCGTCTCGATGGTTTCACCTGGATACAACAACGTGCCATGCGTTACAGATACAACCGACCCCTGAGCAGATGATGGTCTCGAAACGGAGACTGCAGTTGACTCCGTAGCAGTCCACGGTGGTGTAACAAGCAGAGGCGCATGTGTTCCTAGTTGACTGTCGGGGGAAGGTTCATCCTTCTGAACGATCTCCGAACCACCATTAGACACCGGGTTTGTCAACCCGAATACATGTCCAAAGTCTTTATAGTCGAGCAAATTGATCCATGAATGCCTTTCGTATCCCGTTCCGATGATAATGGCGTCGTAGGAGCGTGTTTCGAAGAGTGGATCCGAACCCAATACGTGCTGGAGCGTAAGCGTGAGTGATCCGTGCGAATGCGAAGAAGCTCGGTTTGCGATCGGGGCCACGTCGGATGAGGAGTCCGACGTGCAATATTGAGTGGCTGCGGCTATGGTTCGATATCTGAGAATGTTAATCCGAGGGGTTTTCAGTGCATCGGAAGGTGCGCCTCGGGCATGTGCTCCGTCTTCGACTTTTTGGTCGTATATACGCTCATAAATCTGGACATATTGACACGCTCAGCTGCCATTGCACAAAGGATACCAGTGCTACTGACCTTGGCCAGGGTGTTGGGATTGACGACACCATAATTCGTATTTTCATACTCTCGCTTTACCTCTGATCTAGCTTCTTTGCTGTTAAGACTAAAGAAAAAATCCGTCGAAGCGGGGTCGAAGATTTCGTTTGCGAATGGAGAATCGTCCGATGGTTTGAGACTTCCTCGGTGAATGATGAGATCGACGGAATGACTGGATGGAACTGAGTGCTCGGAGCTAGGGACAGGTGGAGGGAAGGCGCTCAAACGGGCTTGGATGTCGAGGAGGACTTCGGCTGCGCTCTGACCGCTTCCAACGACAGCGATACGGACTGGTCGGAAATTGGTACTCCCACTCCCAGTCGTAGTTGAGGGGCGTTTGAAGATGATGCCACTGAGGATATCATGCATAATGCCGTCGATGCGGTGCGCATATACTGAGGTGTGGATAATTCGACTGGGAGCTCTGACAGCAAGCGCAGATAGCGAGGGAGGTACTCTCGGTGTTCCTCCGGGCGCGATAACAAGATGCTTTCCTCTCCGGACGCGTTTTACGGGGTGTCCACTTTCGGAAAGCGAGGTTACTGAGACGACTAGGCCATCGCTTTGAATGCTCAGGACCCTCTCGCCGTAATGAACCGATACACCGGGCTCGCGGGCAACTTTTTCCGCAGCCCATATCAGATAGTCGGAATATTCACGTCGACTGGGGATGAAAGAGCCTCGGTTAATGAATGTGACGAGGCGATTGTGTTCGTGAAGGTAGGAGAGGAAAGTGTATGAAGAGGTTGGCGATCGTAGCATGGCTAGATCTTTTAGGAAGCTGTGGTCTGTAAATTTCGCCATGAAAGGAGAAAAAGGTTCACAAGACTCGCCTGATTTGCATGCTTGCGCCTGGCAGGAGCATGCCCGGATGCCACTGAAATGACGAGCTTTTTTCTATGAATGTTATGGTGTCTAGGGGTAGCGGTTTTCCTCGTGCCTAATGCTTGGACTTTGGAGTGTGTATGATGTGTAAGAGTGCACTTCACATACGATATATGCGCGTTTCTTTTCAAGGAAAGCTATTGCAAGAGCCAGGGCGGCGGGGCCGAACCCTACGCAGACCAGATCGGAAATATGCCCATGACATTCAGTATCCGTCATGTCTCAGAGAGAAAGATCAACGTGAGGAATATTCCCGCTATTCCGTAGCAGTTTTCGTGATCTGTGCAAGATGTCCTCTAAAAGTATCTTCCGCGGACTTATCAGATAACGCCAGCGGAAATTTTAATTGATACATTATGTAATGGAATATTGTCAATCAGTTTACCGAGTCCAAATGCAAGTATTTCACATCGTAATATGTATTGTAGTTTAGCAATCTCGGTTCAAGAAATCGCCCCAGAACCGAACCACCCCTAGGCCACTACGAGTAATAACTCCTTTGCGCTCTTCGCTGCCAATTGAAGGGGCGGGTGCCTGAGACCCTTGCATTCCAATCTCTCCCGAGCCATTATACCTGACCATTCCGAATGAAAGGTCCATGATTCCCATACGGTAGGCTGCCATTGAGATATCCCAATAAAGTCCGATAGTAAATCCAGTCGGAAGGTGGAAACAAAGGACGAACTGATGTATGTCTGTGCGATATGAGGCCAATTGCATGCACATGTGGAATGGCAGCCTCAACACCATGTTCTGTCGAATGCAACGATCGACAAGCAAACAGCTGGGTGAATGAATCGGGTCCCTCATTGGAGAAGAGCAAGCCAATAGCGGGCATTCCGGACGAATGGTGACTGCGCATGCGTATCGCAGACGCCTAATTCGCAGATCCAACAACGTCCGCAATTGACAAGAAACAAGATGAGAGAACATGTCAGCGATGCAATCCTTCGAATGCACGACTCCTCCGATGGCCCAATTACAGAATAAAAAAGGAAATCCACCTGCCGGTATGCACGATTCAGCACGAGGTCGATTGTTGTACAACACCCAAACAGCGGTCGGCCCCGGCGGACCAGGGTCGCCATCTCTCAAAATTGTGTGGAGCCATCTCCCACCAGGTGCACAGGCATCGAGTGAACCCAAACAAAAGTAGATGCAAAAGCGCGGAGTGAGAGATGTACAGAAGTTATATGATATAATGTGAAAGGCAAAAAAAAAAAAAAACACAGAACCAACAACTGCTCACTATGCCCAAAAATAACTGGCGCCGATCGATAGACTACAAGGATAATTTTCCAACGCAACACAAATGGGTTATTTCAACGGTGTTTATGATGGGAGGACAAGGGGAAAGAGTGGTGAATGGCATATACGATGGTCGGCATCGGTGACATTGAGTGAAGGTTGTTCGGCTTGGGTGGCAACGGCGATGAAAACCCTCATTAGCATAAGTGGCCCAACGAAGAGGAATGAGAACTGTGGGACGGCGGAACGTGCTGGAAAATCAGGGTTTCGGTGGATGTGCGGAAGGCCGAACCGACCGCCACTACCGTCGGCAATAGATCTAGAACCAGGAGCGAAGAGCGAAAACGTCACGAGTTCAAGGTCCTGACAAGGCGAGTGCTGCGCCGAACGCCGCTAACATGTTAGAAGATAAAACGGAGTCAAAGCTTGCTTGAAGTCCAAACTCTTTAAAATGACAGGTTATGCAGGTGCGTTGAGAGACCGTGGCTGCTGGGTTCCGGTCGACTCCAGCCAGTACGAGTTAGGTGGAGCTGGGTTCGAACTTCAGTCGTTGGAGGTGATGAACTTGCTATGAATGGTGCATTATCGAGCAAAAACATGGGTCGGGGTTGTGGGACTGAATGAATATTGGAGTCAATATTTGAGGGCTCGATCTTGTTGCAGTCACAAGACCTCCGATCGGGTCCCGGCCATCTGTCGTCCAAATGCCCTTGATTCGTCATCGTACTGGGGTGTCACAATGAATAACTATGTGTTGGCCATGTGAAAAGGGAGACTGCTTTCCAGAGTCCCTTTGCAGGTACAGTTCTTGGTGGATTCCATGTGCGGAACAACACGCCACTGATCAAACTCAAGTTGCGGCGTGAGAGTATGATAAATCATGTTCTAGCCATATATTAGCGCTCTCTGCCAGAACAGGCGCAGTTGTAAGGACTTCCTGATTAGGCGACTTGAAGGCTGTTGCTGAACTGACTTGCACCTGAGTCCTGACAACGTGTTGTTGAAACCGTCACTCCAAGTTGTCCAAAATGTCCAAACTGTTAAAGAAAGTCAAGGGAAAAGTCAAAGGGAAACTCTTCAAGAAAGACGGATCATCGCAAAATCAGCAAAGCCAGCCTCTTGCAGGCGGGTCATTAACTGTCGCACCCACGCTGCCACCGTCAAGTCAAGAAACGGGTCTCGACACCGTTTGGAATGGTGTTTTGAACTTGCTGAGTATCGCTAAAGAGACTCTGGGTAATGTCCCGGTTCCTGGACTCAAGAGCGCGATCGGCGGCTTCCTTGAAGTAGTTAACCAGCTAAAAGTGAGTTACTAAAACTCCTTCAACGGGCCCTTTATGCCAATAATTTCCGCTCTTGCAGCAAGTTAGTGGCAACGCTGGTGCAATTCGTCAACTCGAGAACAGTGTCGAATTCTTTAATCAGTCAGTGTCGAAGCCGCTCGAACAATTCAAGGGGAAAGGGCCTGTTCCACCCGAGCTTTCCCAGGCAATCGATGACTTATCGGCGTGCGTTTACGTCTCCGAGGAGTGTCTTGGAGTCGAAATAGTCTGACTGTCCTTTTCAGTGACCTCGATAAGGTTGTTTCGCCGCTGAGATTGTACCTAGATCGAGGTCTTGTTCTCCAGTGGGCGGATCATAACAAAATCGGAGGTGATGTCCAGGCAGCTGGGGAAGGGATACGTGATGCAGTGAGGGCCTTTCAAGTATGTATCCTTCGCTACCTGTAAGCCCTGCGCCAAATGCTAATTAATGGACATAGGCTGCGCAAGTAGTCCGACTTGCCTTGGGGATTGAGGTGCGGCTCAGTTTGCATCTGCTCTCTCAGCCTTCAAGCTAACCAATCCTCTAGCAACTCCGCATGGATGAAGAAGCAAATCGATTACTTGACACTCTTCACTATACCCTCGACGCTGGCTATGACACCAGCAGGCAGGGTGCCCCATCCAACTGCTTCCAGGGGACGCGAACTGAGATTCTTCATAAGATTGAGCAATGGTTACACCGACCAGTCAACGATACGACTAAATCCGTGTTCTGGGTAAACGGTCTAGCTGGGATCGGCAAGTCGACTATCGCCTGCACCATCGCGCAGTACGCCGAGAAATCTGGCTCCCTTGGATCGAGCTTCTTCTTTGTCCGTCAACACGCCGAGTTGTCCAATGCGAAGTTCTTCCTTGGGACGATCATACGGGACTTTGCCAAAAAGCTTCCGAGTTTCGGCGCGGCCGTTGCGGATGCGCTGAAGAAAAATGAGAAGCTTGCCCATGTCTCCATTTCCACCCAATGCTCCGAGCTTTTCTTCGCGCCCGTTGGACAGCTCGAGCTTTCTGCGCCTCTTCTCCTAGTAATTGACGCTCTGGATGAGTGTAACCGAGAAGATGCGAAAGAAATACTCCACCATCTCATCCGTCGTTGCACCGGCATCCCGGGCCTCCGGATACTCATAACAAGCCGGCCAGAGTACCATATCACTGACAAACTTGACCCAGCGATGAATGTTGACAAGATCGTAGTTCATGAAGTGGATAAAAACATCGCTTCGCATGACATTGAGTTATATCTGCAAAATCAGCTCAAATCTATTCACGAAGATTTTAGTCGTTTCGTCCCAGACGGATGGCCATCATCTGAAATGGTCTCTGGCCTCACAAAGAAAGCTGACGGGCTTTTCATCTGGGCCGCTACCGCAGTCAAATTCATCGGAGATGATAATGTCAGGGATCCTGTGCGTCGATTGGACACCATCATGGGTGGTGTGGATCTGCATGATGCGAGTCCTTATGCTGAGCTGGATAGTCTTTATGAAGCAGTCTTGTCTTCCAGTGTTTTCGGAACCCCTCGAGATATCCCCACCCAGCTCTACCGTCTTCTACATGCTGTTGTTCTGCTTAAGGATCCATTGCCTGTAAAAGCACTCGGTGCTTTTGCCATGGTCTCCAATCCTACACCGTTGCTTGATCGCATACAATCGATCATACCACTGCCTTCAGAGCCGAAGGGTAGAGTTGAAGTCTACCACCCTTCCTTTCCGGATTTCATCATAGAACGGTGCAGGAACCCTGAGCTTAGGGTTAATGTGGAGAAGCATGAGAGGTGGATGGCCCTTCGGTGCCTCAATCTTCTCAATACCCATCTTGTTCCATCTATAGATGAGATTGTCCCATGGAATTCACTCAATGTGGGGGTGGTGAACCTAAGTGCCAAGCTTACTTCAGTGGTGGGGGAAGAAGTGCAGTATGCATGCCGCTTTTGGACAGCCCATTTGGGAAAGCTTCAGGAGGTTGATGATGGTGAGATTAGGGATGCACTGGAGAAGTTCACTGGTCTTGGGAATGCTGGAAAGGGGCTTTTGTTACGATGGATTGCTGTGATGAGTATGATGGGGCATGTCAGTGATGCTGCTAGAGGTATATTGGACATTCTTCCTTGGATGGTTAGTGATGATGCTGCTTGCTTGAGGACTCTATTACTGACTATTATATTAGAGAAGGAGAAGTTACCTGGCCCATATTGGCCATATTTTACTTGAAGCCTACCGTATGATTATGACCCATGCACCAACCATTGAAGCCACTGCAGCACACATCAGCCAGTCTGTTTTGCCATTCCTTCCCCCCAAAAGCCAGCTGTTGCCTGCCTTCCAACAAGGACCCAATCCAACTGTAACTGTACATGCTGGGCATGATTTGGAATGGCCTTCCAACATTGCAACTCTGATTGGCCATTCCAATCCAGTGACATCTGTGGCCTTCTCTGCAGATGGATTGCTCCTTGCATCAGCATCACATGATCATACCATCAGGCTGTGGGACCCTCACACTGGGAGCCACCTCAAGACACTTGAGGGCCATGCTTATTCTGTGACATCTGTGGCCTTCTCCCCAGATGGATTGCTCCTTGCATCAGCATCAGATGATCATACCATCAGGCTGTGGGACCCTCACACTGGGAGCCACCTCAAGACACTTGAGGGCCATGCTTATTCTGTGACATCTGTGGCCTTCTCCCCAGATGGATTGCTCCTTGCATCAGCATCAGATGATCGTACCATCAGGCTGTGGGACCCTCACACTGGGAGCCACCTCAAGACACTTGAGGGCCATTCTGATCGGGTGGCCTTCTCCCCAGATGGATTGCTCCTTGCATCAGCATCAGGCGATCATACCATCAGGCTGTGGGACCCTCACACTGGGAGCCACCTCAAGACACTTGAGGCCCATTCTGATCGGGTGACATCTGTGGCCTTCTCCCCAGATGGATTGCTCCTTGCATCAGCATCACATGGTCATACCATCAGGCTGTGGGACCCTCACACTGGGAGCCACCTCAAGACACTTGAGGGCCATTCTCATTGGATGACATCTGTGGCCTTCTCCCCAGATGGATTGCTCCTTGCATCAGCATCAGATGATCGTACCATCAGGCTGTGGGACCCTCACACTGGGAGCCACCTCAAGACACTTGAGGGCCATTCTCATTGGATGACATCTGTGGCCTTCTCCCCAGATGGATTGCTCCTTGCATCAGCATCAGATGATCGTACCATCAGGCTGTGGGACCCTCACACTGGGAGCCACCTCAAGACACTTGAGGACCATTCTGATTTGGTGACATCTGTGGCCTTCTCCCCAGATGGATTGCTTCTTGCATCAGCATCACATGATCATACCATCAGGCTGTGGGACCCTCACACTAGGAGCCACCTCAAGACACTTGAGGGCCATTCTGATTGGGTGACATCTGTGGCCTTCTCCCCCAATGGATTGCTCCTTGCATCAGCATCAGATGATTGTGCCATCAGGCTGTGGGACCCTCATGCTGGGAGCCACCTCAAGACACTTGAGGGCCATTCTCATTGGGTGAAATCTGTGG